ATGGCACTAATTTACGCCACAAACGGTTCTTTTCCATGCTGAGATCATCCAGCATAAAGCAGTACTATCGTTCTGTAGCGGAACGGGGTACGTGAAACCGTGGAACAAGCCAGTTAAAGAAAGATTGTGAGATAATGTTCAAAAGATACATAATAAAACTCTGATAAACGGCACCGAGGGTGTGCGGCACGCTTCCTGAAACCCTTACCCTGTTTCAGACCAAAACAGTGTGATTTTCCCTACCCTATTTCAGGCCTGATCCTTAAATCAATACGCGTGACAAGCTGCTACGGCACGTACATGGTTGGCGTAAACATTCTTTGACAAAGACTTGAGCGCACAAACCATACCCTATTTCAGACCAAATTGGTCATAACTGATACCCTATTTCAGGCGACAAAAACGGCTAAAAAACCATACCGTTTGGCGCCGCACATACCTATATAGCCTATATAAGGGAGTACCCCCCCTCCGAGAGACGATACTAAGGGAGCTGTATTTAGCCTGCTTGCAGTTCGCCTTTTACGTCAGTTGCGGGATAAGAACTCAATAGTCTGCTACACAGCCGTTTTTAGTCTCGTCACGCAACGCTCCTCCCCCCTTTGCCGGAGAGGAGCATTGCGTGACGAAATTTAAAACGACCGTGCCAGACAACGAGCATGTTTGTCGAATTCATTAATTTATAACGTTAACACAGGTCGTTTTTCGCGGCACAAGACATGTTACACTTGCCAGGGGCACTCGGGGGAGGTTTTTAAAAGTAGAAGTGGCGCCGAGGGCTTTAAGCTCTGGCCCTGTTTGAGAGTAAATCGTTCATTTCACTACCCTTATTTCATGACACTGATTCATTTCGTTTGGCATACATCACATAATCGAATTATCGGAAAAAAGGTTGGTTCCGCACATGAAAACCACTCATCGCAAACCTTCACATTCTTTTATGGGCTTCTGGTCCAAAAAGACACTCCGTTCAAGACGCTAAATAGAAAAATTGTAAATCGTGAGTACGACTCAAGACCCTTAACACCACTCTCTGTTCATTAGGATATAGCATCCAGGGCAAATTTAAAATGAGGTAGTGCTCCTTGGGTCTATCTCAGAAACGGTTGAAGAGAAAAATAAGAGACCGCTCCTGAGGCCCAGTTCAGACGTCGTGCTTCTACTTTGCCGAACTAAATTCAGGAATTAAGTTCGACAAAAGCACGGCAGAAGCACGGCGTCTGAATCAAACTTTTGAATTAAGTTCGACAAGCGCTGCCGTGCTACACGGTTCTGGCACGGCAGCGATTCAAACGTCGTGCTTCTGCATGCCGCGCTAAACAAAATTCATAAATTATATTTAGGTATTTTGGCGAGATTGCGTTCCCACGGGGAGTTGGGAGAAGAATTGTTACGAGGCATCAGTAAATCCTGAATTTGGTTCGGCTCTGGCACGACGTCTGAATCAAAGTTGTTTTCCTGCCGTGCTACAGTCGAACCAAATTATAATTAAGTTCGGCACGGCAGAAGCACGACGTCTGAACTGGGCCTGAGTCTACGGCTGTCATTGGTCCTAAGATTATTGTGTTCCCGACCTGTGATTTTTCCATGTCCGTTTCATAGACTGATCCATTTTACCATTTTTGCATGTATTTGCCCATTGTCAAGAAACAACGAAAACATTTGCTTTTGCAGTTAAGTCCGGCCAGATCTCGCGCATTCTTTTTTCACACTTATCAGTTTTACGGTGGGGTTTTAGGTTTGTTAATCAACGTTTTGGAACTTTAAGTACTTAGGCCATAGTTTTGTTAATGTTAGTTTCCTTGAGTTGTCAACAGTGATTACACGTTCAACACTAACGGGTAACTAGCCTTTGTAAATCAACTTAGCCGTGCTTTAAGAGATAATTAACTGTACCTCATCAACTATGAACTGTTTCTAGGTAGCTTAATTACGTTAAAAATTAGTCACACTTATAACTAAAACGAAATCCTATCCGTATCAAAAACGAATGCCCAAACCCGAGCTACACCGCTGACAGAATTCGCAGTTTTTGGTGTTATTCGTGGTTTCTCATCCACAGTGAAGGGAAGACGTGAACGAGTAAAAGTATATTTTCATGTCTCGCAAGTGTAACCACACACAGATCATTTGCCGTTCTTTGATCTGAGCAACGAATGTTGCGCGATTGAATCGTACGTCAATTGCTTAAATACAAGGCCCATATTTTCGGGATTTATAAAGAATCAGATTTCACTTTATAAAAAGAACACAAACAAATAAACACGGAGAGATAAGGTTCCGAAGACTACTACTTATTTATTTCGCACAATAATCCCTTATATACATAGGAACTGACCAAGAGGCGTTTTAAACTTTCCCTCACTATAACCATTACTGTACTATATAATCGTTCAAGAGCTTGTCTATACACCAGGCATGTGCCATCGATATATATATATATATATATATATATATATCAACATTTATCATTCACTATCTACAAGGTGACATAATGGATTTTTCATAAAATAAGTTTATTTTTAGTTCAAACAATATCGACCCAGAACCATTTTACAATTATTTATATGGTGAAATATTAAGCAAGATAAATAATCTATTTTTGCGTTCATTTTGGTAAATACCGATTATTGTCCAGTAATCCAAGTCAAACCAACAGACTTGGCCAGAGAAGAAATTAAATAGAGTAACAATCGGATTAGTATAGGTAATCGCATGATTTGTAGTGATATTCGGCGTAAATACCAGGAGTGATATTTCAAAATTGCTATACGTAATTTCACGAGCCGTTCGGCGAGTGAAATTTGAGACAATTTTGAAATATCACGAGTGTTATTTATGCCAAATATCACGTACAAACCACGCTATTATTTGCCTTTACTACTACCCGCAAAAGGTTTGTAATTTTCACATGCAGGTATTTCAAATTAAGCTGAAATACCACTGCTCTAAGCCAATCAAATTGTAGAATTTCTTATGTAGTAGTATTGGCAAAATAATCGTTGAAGTATTTGTCGATGTTTACAACGCGGACTTCTGATAAGACTACAATTCGACTTTTTTCCTAAAACGTGTGACGAAAGACTCACTTATATTCGAAAAAGCTACATATTTCTGGTCTCAGATACCCCCGGCCGGCTCAGGGGCCTTTTTCTTGAAATTTCCGTAATTCAGGACCCGGAAAGCTGTTTTACGTTTTTCGCTTTTACATACAAAATGTAACTGTTAATTCAAGTCACAAAATGCACTGGTTCGTGAACTAGTAGAATCTACTGTTCCACAAGGTTTTGATTTTAGATTATGGTTTCGGTTGGCAAAATCTGCTCGAAGAATTGAGAAAAACGGGTACCCTGACGGCTTCACAACGTGCTATAAGTGGGATGGTTTTTAATAAAGCCAGGCCGTGTAGTTTGAACAACGATTAGTGAAAATCCAGAAATAGCTACCAAGGCAACTCAGTTACATTGCTTGCACTTAGTCCAGGATTAGTTGAAGCTAATCGGATTTCGAACAACTCGGGTCCAGCCCTGCAACAACCTCGTCATTATGTTGCCTAGTCCCTAAGCCTCATTATTCCGCTCGGCCAATTCGTTTCGGTTCACGTGGTCCAAGCGAAGAAGTGATACGTCACCGAAGTGAATTGACCGAGAAGGCCTGGGAAAAAGCCGTACAGGGACTAGGGGGTGTGGGACTCTTAATCCTTTAAAACCTAATATCAAAATTAAAATTCTCAATTGTCCCCATACGTTTCCTATAGAAGAAGTTGGGAGAAGTTGTTGAAGTATCCATTAGATTCATCTTGTGTGATCATGTCCTAAATTCTCATGACCACTCTGTTTTATAAAGCATTGATAAGAGAAATTTCATGCTGATCATTCTTAGGGCTTAAAGGGCATTAAGCATGGACGCTTCGGTCCCTGAAAAACGTTGAAAAGAAGTCACCTTACATTAATTGTAATCATAATCGCCAAAGTTAACACAGGCTATTTGAAGTCTCACGTCGCAAAACACACTCAAAAGGTTCTTGCAATTTAAGAGTGCAAATAATAACAGCTGCCTAAGTTCTTTCAATGTTTCTGAAAGTAATACGCCAGTGGGCGAAACAAATTTTCCTGATATCTCTGAACTAGTTTGTTCAATTAGTCTTCCTTGTTGAGCGTGACTGCGTTGCTATTACAGCTTGAACTCCACGCTGAAAAGCGGCATTGTAAGCCGGCATAAACGCCTGCAAAGAAACAAGAAAATTAACAATACAGACTCACGAAATTCCATCAGTCCCAAAAACCTTAAACGTACAAACAAACAGAAAAGAAGAAACTCCGTAATTACAGTATCGACTTTACGTTTGCCCTCGCTAGATCTAATTTTCATTGCAGTTTCTTCGAATAATAAATCGACTCAACTACCCCAGGAGCCCAAGGACTCCTGACTAACCCCGGGTGGATCTTTTCCCTGTTCAATCATCCCCTGCCAGACCCACGTTAGGTTAGAAAATGTCATTGCTGACAATTTGACGATCACACACAATTAAAAGAAGACCTGCACGAAACGCCAGTTGTCGGTGATCAACGAAAAACGCCAGATGCACATAATTTGTCGTTTAAATCGTTAAAATTGATTGATCATACGCAACTACAGATAGAACAAACAAACTTTGCGCTCAGTCAAAGCTGTTGTTTAACTCATAAAGGGCTTTTAGAAAGTAGATTGTGCCACCCCATCTCACCCACCTCATTAACCCTCATGCTTTCGCTTACTCTTTCTTTTACTGCGGGATAGGTCTCAGAATAGGGAGACTAGATCAAGTCTTTCAGTGTCAAGCGGTCGAAAATAACAGCGAAAGGTTGGCTGCATGGTGGGTGGAATCCCTTAAAGGGGATGGGCGAAGGGGAGAAAAGGTCTCGTTATGGCCCGAGGGCGGGCGGTTTCGCTGGGGCTAGCCACAAACAAATTTTCCTTCACGTCGCTCCAACAAAACCGTCACCTACAAGGTCTACAGATCAGGGAGATGAGATACTTGCCTCATCCCAGACAAGCTCTGCAAAGTGATCCAGTTTAGCACCGTACTCTCTGAACTCTCCACTGAATCGGATATAAGACCACACTACAATGGCCAGCAGTCCAGACCAAATCACGAGATTGCACATGCGCACAAACGAAACAAGTCCAATCGAACCAAACACGGTCGCCAAAAAATAACCCAGCACCACAAGCGTGAAGAAGACTGCGGGTGTGCGGGCGGCATTAAAGATGTTCTTTCCATCGTTAAGCTTCTCAAAGTTTTCAAATGCCTCGTCGATTTCTTTGAGTAGTCTTTCGGCGTACTCCTTGCTGAATTCAATTCCTCCCATCTTGCGCGTTCCATGAAATATGGCTAACGATGTTTCCTTGGCTTCGGCGTGCTTCTTTTCTAGTTCGTGAGGGGCTAAATATGGGGTATCACCACCACAAAGCTGAAAAACAAAAACCATTATCACGTAATTGGACTATTCACAACCTCTCTAAACTGAAGGAACAAGACAAATAGCGAGAAAACTAGGGCGAGGGATTTAGCCTTTGTAGCAGGCGCATGAGGAATACGGGGAGCAAAGTAAGTGATGCGCGCGAGAGGAGGGCGCACGCGCAAGGAGAAGTAGTTTCCTCTCTCATCGGGCGCGTTATCCTCCCTGGATAGCGCCGCCGTTTTCAATTTTGGCGCTAAAAAATATCTCGTGCCCATGCCACGGGGTAGAAGTAGAGAGCAGGTGAGGAACGCGCGCTTCGAATACGAGAGAATCACGAAAAAAAAAATTCGAAGAGGTTTTCAGTTCTTTTAACTGAAAAGTTGTGAAAGAAATCTTTTATCTATGTTTCACTTATGTAATTTGGGGGCCAAACAATGCTCTTTTGAACAGCGTACTTATCGTTCTTGACAGGTGAAAGACGCGCGAGCGTTGAAAGGCAATGGCTACACAGGGCGAGAAGGGAAATAGCCTGCATCGGAGAGGTAATCAAACTGCGGTTAGTAACGTCTGCGAAACATTCCCGAGATCCTTATTCTGGCCCCCCGACGAACTCAACGAATTACCGGAAGTGCGTTTCGAATTTCCTTTCATCCTGATTGGCAAATCGACAATGGCTTTTTTAACAGGCCAATCATGGTGTATTCTCAAATCCTGGTACACAGGTGGAAGCCCAGATCAAGGACTTTGGCGCTGTTTCGCAGACGGACTTATCCAGAGTTTACTTTCGTTTCTGGCGCGGGTTAGAAGTGAAACAGCTTTCCGTTTACTTATAACTTTAAGGTGACTCCACTACAAGCTTTTTTCGTCGCTTGAGTGGAAAATAAAAGAAATCAATTGAGTGCTAAAGCTCACCAGTTCCATCCGCTTTGTGTAGGAGTCCTTTGAACTTGCCAGAGCGGCAAGGTTATTAGCTTCAGCTGTCGCCTAGAAAACAAAAACAAGATAAAGTAATCATCAAACATAGCGTATAAACAAGGCAGTCTAATGTCTGATTACTAAAACAACAACGGCAAAAAAATACTTACCAATAACATAGACTTGGGCTGAGGTAGCTCTTCTCCTTGAAAAATTTTCATGTAGGCCTGTTACAAAAAGAAACCTAGAGCTTATCTATGATTGGAGGCCTGTGTACATCTAGAGTGAGAAGTACACAAGCTAACAATCGGTAGTTGATCACATTGTGACTTACACTGGCTTCACTATTTATCAGCATGCATACAAGAAGTCATTCTAGTTAGCACAAACAATTTCGCCGGGTAGCGTGGGTGAGTGGCCAGCGCGAAGGACTCGCAAATCTCTGGCAGTTCCGGGTTTGAGTCACCTGCTGAATTTATTCTCAGTTGTCTCGAGGTCAAATCCTAGCTGGCGGTCCAAGGTTCAAGTCACACTCAGGCCACTAGCTGGATTTGTTCTTGGCTGTCCTGAGTTTAACTCATTGCGGCCAAGATTGTTATAGCTAAATGGTTGCCTCCTGTCAGTTGGGGTTTTTAATCTTGTTATGTTCTGTTTGATATTACTTGTTTCTAATTATACGAGTGGAGCGCCTGTAAATTAGCTAGTTAAGCTAAGCATACTATAAATAACCTTTATATATTCTTTTTTTCAGTTTCTAATTTACAAGTAACATTTTTATTTACAACACTAAACAAGCTAGGAGAGTAGGTAGGATTTTTTCAGTTAACAGTACTTGGCCACCGTCTCATTGTGTTATGGAAAGCAAATCAGCGTGTATTACTTATTCCTCGTTCAGCCCATTTGATTACCACTCATGAGCGAACTCCTCCCTTATGCGATCAAACTATAACTCAAAATATAGTCTCATCATGTAAGGGGTTGTCTCATGCAAACGTGGTAAAAGTTGTACCAGCCATTGTTTTGCAAGTAACTGCTATTTAGCCATGGCTCTAACTGTCACAAAAATTATCAACAGCTATTACTGACCTTAAAATACTCCACCAGTCCTCTACAAGTAACTTCTTCTCCATTTATGCTCTTTACAACTAAGTTGTCAATGGAGAGAACTGAAGGGGTTATCTCTCGTAACTGCGTCTTAAACTCCTCATCAATATCTGTTCCGACAAATTAATCAGATACATGATAATTAAATAACAGGGTTTGTACTCTTTTGGGCTCTTCAAATTCCATGACTTTATCCATGACCTTTTTAAGTTTTCCATGACCTAAGTTTTAGCTGTCACTTTCAAAATTTTTTAGGACTTTCCTTGTTTTAGGGTATTTTTGGACCTTAAACAGTTCAACAGACACAAACTCTGGTGTCCACCAAAATGCGTGGCGTTCGAACTGTTCAATCACTTCTGTCTATCTTACATTGTCCTTGCCTTGTCATCGGCCATAACTAATCTATCAAAAAAAGACTTTAATATTCCATGAATTCCCAGGCCTGGAAAATGAAATGTTAAAATTCCATGACTTTCCCGGTTTTCCACGACCTTTACGAATCCTGAATAACAATATTTACATCTGCAGATGCAGATGCAAGGGCAGATTTAGGAGTGAGCTGTGGGGACAGCGGCCACCCCTTTTTCTTTGAAACTCAGAAAAATAAAAAGTATCTAGATATGGCTGACTATTGTCCCGGCCATCCCTTCCTGAATTTTCTGGATCCGCCCCTGCAGATGGCACTAATCTGTAATTTGTGAACCCTGAATTACCTTCTCCCCAGGGGGTTTTTAAAACAATCAGAGTCCCACCAGATAAAGCACAACTTTTAAATGCACTTTATTTAAGTGTCAATGTATTTACCCCCAAGGTAAACAGATAAAAAATTGAGGACAATATTTTTAATTCCCCTACTGGAAATGGGACTGCGATTTTATGTGGTAATCCAAGTCACAAAAAGGTCTAACCGATTGCAGGGCAAAGGCAGTACTTCATTTCTCAGTTATTTTTAGATGCTTAGTAGGGGTCCCCTCCAGGAAATCCAAGCGACAACCTCCTCTTTGCAGACAAGAGCCTTTCCAAGTGAGCTAGCCCTGCCACAGTCACGGCAGTCATTAAGAAAAATACTTTTCAGTCAAAATGGAATGAATTTAATATAATGATACATGCTTTCATTTAACAGCTTGATGCTTTGAACATGACATCGAGAAACGTCTTGTAATCCACAAACCTTTCAAACTACCATCAAATGTGGGATTTGTGGCAACTTTCAGTCCAGGATGGGGCATCAAGAAGCATCCAATGTTACTGAAGCATGACTTAATGTGCCTCCTTACTTGCATCAGCTCAGAATGTTGTTTTTCTGTCATGCGCAGACGTTTCTCCAAAATTTGGTTTCCTCCAGTGGATCCATATGGAGCCTCATATGGAAAACTCCAGTCTCGCACCAAGAACACTAATCTCTGAAATAGAAGATTAAGCAGAATGCCTATTGTCCTTATCTTCTTTCCCTAGCATGTGCACGTGACCTTCCATACATTGCCTCTATTTTATTTATGCATGTAAAATTTATGTGCGCACATACATAAAAATTTACGTGACAGTGGAAATCCACCCTTAGCGAGAGTTGTAATTTAGCGGAAGTTTGTTTGAGTCAAATGTCTATAATTTTTTATGGGGATTAAGCAGCTGTCTGTAATAGCGAGGTGTCCGAAAGGTGAAAGTTGTCTGTATACCAGTATGCCTTAAACTTCGAGCTAGTAAGTCTGGCTAGAATTCCTTATAGTTTATTAAAATTATTATTTATTATTTTTTTTGCTAATGTTCTTTTAGTAACTTTAGTACAATAAAAGTTGTACCATTACTCTACCTGAAATGGTTTAATGTTGCTTTCCTCCATTGCCAGTTTCCCATACTCTGTAAAAAGCTGGAGAAATATAAGATACAGTGTACAATAAACTGTTTTAGACACCTTCAACTCAGTGAATTTATCAACAACTTCATGACTATTGCCTACCTGAAGATGTTGAAGATCATCTTCTTGTATGTTCTGTGTTATGTTATAGATCTACAGACAAAGCGCAATATGAAGCACAATAATATCAAATAACGCACAATTACCTACTAATGCAAAGAATTTAAAACATGATTTTGGCTTATCTGACGAAGACTTAAAAATTGCTTACAACCTTCCCCACCTGACAACACAGGAGCCTTATGTCAAATCCTTTCAATATAAAGTTTTAAATTCAATACTTTACACTAATGCAAAACTTTTTAAAATTGGATATCTCCAGCATGACAAATGTACTTTTTGCAAGACTGAACAGGAAACATTATGTCACTTTCTATTTTACTGTCAGCACTCAAAAATGTTGTGGAAAAATGTTGAACAGTATTATTTAACAATAACAAAGGAATTTCACAGGTTGTGTTTACGAGAGGTTATAATTGAAATAACGATGTCAAAATGCCCCTTGTTAAAATTAAATTATCTGATATTAATTGGTAAATTGTATTTTTGGGATTGCAGAAAGAAACAGGTACTTCCAAACATCGAAGGTTTCAAATTTAAAGTAAGAATTAAATACCAAGTTCAAAAATATATTTCCGCTAAGAATAATAAATTAGAAACCTTTTATGAAAAATGGCCAAAAGACATTTCTCCCCTTTAATTAAGTTCGTGAGTATGTAATTAAAAATGTAATCTTTTATTAGACACTTTTTTTTTGTAGTTTTGTATTTTTGTATTTTTTATTTTTGTATGTGTGGTTATGTTTTTGTTTTTATTTCAGAGCATACTGTAAATATTACGTGTTAATCTCTCTTTTATCTACATAATTAAGTATTAATTAATTCTTTGTAAAATAAGCCTCATTCGGCAATTGCGCGGCTGTTTTGTGGCTGTAATGTATATAATTGTGAAATGTAGATAATTGTAAGTATGTCTGTTATTGCGGTTGTTTAGAACTTTGTAATTATTTTCTTTTTAAGTAGTTCTTTGTAATTATAGTAATAAATGTCTTGAATAAAAAAAAAAAAAATACAGACAAAGCACAATAATGTTAGAATAAACAAAATTTTACAGAGGCTTGTACTGTAAGCCAGCAAGCAGGCAGTGCTCATTAAAAGCAACATTCATTTTGTATATTGGAGTCTAACATTATACTAAGCACCCACCCTAAAGGATGGCACAACACCCCCCTCCCCCCTTCCACCCCCTGGCTGAATAGCTTTTGTAGTAACCTAACCTATTATAGAAAAAGAAGAAACCCTAGGTTAGAAAAGTTGTTTTAAATAATTATTGTTTTCTTAATGTTAAATCCACATACTTAAACTGGACATTGATGTGGGCACAAACCTCTTCCAGTCACCTCATGTTTTTTCACAAGTTTATGGCAATGTGGGTGTTTTGGCTTAAAATGCTCAGAGCAAAAAAAAAGGAAATCATCCTTGATTAAGCACCTATCTCCAGCATCACAAAATTAAATAATGTGCCTTGAATGATTATTCAGTTTTAGGATTTTATCCTTGTTATCAAGAGAAACTCGTTCACACTGATTTTGCAGTATACATCACCTGTGTTGAACTAGTCATGGTGCTGAGTGCGAAGATTGTTGCACAGTCTTTCACAGTTGAAGAGCTGTCAAATGCACCTTGAGTGTCCATTAACAATACTGCAACCTGTTGAAGAAACCATCACAATCAGTAAATAAATAAATAATAATAATAATAATGATAACAATAACAAGAGAGATTAAGCATAGCGTTTATGGCAATTGGCAGATGTGAGATTCAAGTTGAGACACAAAATGAGAAATGGGCAGATAAAAACAGCTTAAAGCAATTGAACATGATGGATAGAATTGGCGTGAATCTACCAATTTTCGTGTAGTTATAATGATCAACAGTAAGCAATAAGTAAATGGAAAACTTGGTCATATGGCACAAACTCATCTTTCCCATTTGCCGTAAACGCCATGCTTAAACTCTCTAATAAGTAAAGAGGAGTAGCCACACGCAAGTTAATGTGCTGTAAACCATTTTACATCCGGCCTATTTATCCTGGACTTTTTTTTCTTACATGCATGTATGAACTCACAATACTGAATTACAGAATAATATTATTATTACCAGACAGCACGACAGGGCTGACATTTAAGGGTGGGGGCTGGGGACTTCACCTGGCTGCTATGAGCATGACCTTCTGAACTTCTGCAACTTCCCCACCTACTAAATGCTTACAACCTGCAGCTTGAAATCAGAGAGGCAACCCTGTATGCTTACTCAGCGATTTTGTTACCTCTGAGTACTGCATCCCTAATTCTTAAAAATCCCCAAAGACACAAAGATGTTAATGGCACATGTCCAGTAAAATGCAAAGATCGATTGATCGATCAATTTGAACATATTTTTGCAGAATATCCAATTCATGTGATTTCTGTGGCTGTTCTTGTGGCTGTTGTTTAATGACGCATATTTCTTTTAGTTTTCACTGTGCTTTACAAAAGAATATCTTTTATCTGTCTGGTGTCACATAAAAGCCTCAGCATTTTCAATTTAGGAATTATTGTGTTTTGAACTGGGACTCAACGGTTCTGGACTAAGACTTGTAATAAAATCACTGCCCTATCATTAACAATTACTAGCATAAGAGACATGATACAGAGTTTCCTCAAGAAAAGCATACCTCCTATAGTTTGAATATCATACTGAATTGGAAAAAAAATGGAAACCTGTCCTGTTGCAGAATGTATATAATAACAACCAGTGGAAGGCCCCTAAATGGACACTGTTATGAAGAGACAGTTCTACTTATAACAGGCTTGACAAAACACTGCATTTGAACTTTTTGCTCACACAAAACCATTCCTGTAAGCTGCCAGCTCTAGGAAAGAAAAGACACGTTTTGGCCACCTTTTTTTTCACTGTACTGACCTCTTCGCCACTGGGCAGTGTTTTAATGTAAGGCTTGCTCCAGAGAAGTATACCAGTTGTATCTCGCTCTGATCCTCCTCTCCAAGAAAAACCCTCCAGAGCTTCTTTTTCGCCACCAATCCAGTCTGGATATGTTCCCTGGCAAGAATTATAATAACTGTTAAATCAGCAAGGTTAATTAATGGTTTAACAGGGTGCAAAGAAAATCATTTTTACAGCTTGCCATTTGGGCAAGCTGAAGCTAGCATTTACTAGCCCAGATGTCATTTCAACTAGCCCCAAAAACTTTTTGACTAGCAGAATCGATTTCACAGTTCTTCTGTTATCTGAATTCCTAAGAAGACATCACTTGCCCGTCGGGCAAGTTAAAAACAGAATTCACTAGCCCGATAGCAAAATCCGCTAGCTCCCGGCCATCGGACACAACTCTTTTTGCACGCTGTATAAAGTGAGGGTTCTCAATAAGATTTGAGAATAATGATAAAGTTAAAATTGAACAATATTTGAAGAAATCTTTTGGTCTAATTAAATGAATAAAATTGAACAATATTTGAAGAAATCTTTTGGTCTAATTAAATGAATAAAATCAGATATTTACATTTAATAAAATTTATATGTAATAGACAACAACCTTTCAAAAGTAAACTAACGATCATGTACAAAGTACTGACTCAGGGTTGAGTTTTCAGTGACGCGCGAATTGTTTTCAGGTTTTTTTTCATCCGCTCAGGTTGTTCAATTAACTGTGAGGATCATTTCTTCTTTCATATGTTTACAAGACTGAGCTCTAACGAAAATTGCCTGTAGCCCAGTGCTCTGAAACTTTAAAATAAAAGGGTGCCCAGCATATAATTTGTATGAAAAGTCTGAGATTTTCTAGTCGCCCGAGGGCAAAAGTTAGGCGCCAGGGGCCACCAGGCTCTGCTAGAGCACAGCCCAGGCTGTGTTTATCCACAGTTCAAAATATGAGTCATTTTATATATTTCCATTTACAAAAAAGAAGTGTTAAAAAATACAAAAATGTGAACAAACAAACATACAAATGAATAAATAAAAACAAAACAAAAAAGAGCACAAGAAGAGAACCCCCATATGTCCACTAAAGAAACTCTGAATTCTTATTATCAACTGAAAAAAATTACTTTTAGAAACCCAATTTTGATTATTTTTTTAGAAGTGCAAAGTTCAATTTTGTCTGACTGAAGAGACTGCCATCTTCACCTATCTGTTTGAACAAAGAGGTTCATATGTTCTGGCCTTTCATAATGGCTTTATGAAAAAAACATTCAAGTAAAAGGGAACCAAACATTTGCATAAGAAGATACCTCGGTTGGCAACATTTCACATTCCCTAATGGCCAGAACATAGTACATTTTGAGGGCACAGATTGCATAAATGCATTAGCACCTTTTCAGTTTGAGATTTTTTTTTTTTTTCATGCACGGTATTTCAGAAAATAATATCCTTTCACAGTCGTGGATAAACAGTTTGCTAGAATGGTAGAAACTTTGCATTCGCTGAGGTCAGATTCCCCAGAACTTCCACCTGTATCAATAAACGCAGCATTCACCACCAACTATAAATAATTCAAATTCGAGGAATGAGCTTACATGTATTATTAGGTTTATATTTAACTCATTAAACAGAGCCGATTTTAAGGAAAATATCCATGAGAAAATCTGGTTCATGTACAAACCAGCAATAAAGCAAAATCGTTAAGAAAAAGCTTGCTCATATTCAACACTTATTAAGCTTTAATAAACCTAAATATGTACAAGCATGTACTATTTCTAAAATTCACCTCTCGGTCCAAGTACCGCAGAAAGAAGTCCAGTAAAAAGGACTTTCCCTTCCTAAAGGCGCCCGAAACTGACACTACAGCAACCTTTTTATCTCTGACACGTTCATGAAGTAAGATGTCTTCCAAAGCTTTTTCGTCCAACTCAAAACTGTGACTTTCCGTGGCCACCACAACCGGCACAGGCCGCGCGCCCAGAAGTTTTGAATCCAAATCGCGTTCTTGGGACTGCGTCGTTGTATCTTTACCCACTTGGAAAAACAAAAAGCAACTGCAAGTTAAGCGAATAATTAACTCTACTGGGTGAAATGTGAGTATCAGCGATTATTACCATCGACTTGATCAACATCCATCTTGTTACTTGAAGTCGTTGAAATCGACTCTTGATTTGTTATTTTCTAAAATGGCCGCGCAACTACTTCCGATCACAAAGCATCATGGGACGGTCTTGCTCGTTCCGGAATACTTTGGGAGGGGTGGGTGACATGATGAAAAATAAAAGAATTTAACATAGAATGGCCTCAATAAAGGCGAAAAGTTCCTTGTAAAATAAAATTTTCTCACCTTTTTCTAACATTCAAATACCTGAAAATAACTTCGAGGTCAATTTTCTGATTTAGCTGAAAAATATTGTCAAGAACATTCCCAGCCCTACTCTAGAGAAAACCTGTTCTTCCTGCCGTTCTTCCTTATTATGTAGAATCCTGGGAAATTTTCAAACTGGCGGACATTTTGTGTTCCTCTTTCAGATTTTCTCCTATTTCGTTCTACTTGCTTGGAAAAAATGTCAGAGACCTATGGTAAGGCAAAATATAACCTTAACTGTAGCAGAAAGGTGTAGAAAAAGATCTTGTGCTCTTGCAGCCGTGTTTACGGTTCTTGTTTTGGTTGAGATGCATATTTATGTACTTTGTACGACCATCGTGTTTAATAAAATAATTTTATTTATTTCCTTAGATTTCCTCTTCAAGTTTCTTGTGATCGGTAGCGCTGGAACTGGAAAGTCGTGTATTTTACATCAGTTTATAGAGGGAAAGTGTAAGTGTCACTGTTTTATCATCAATCGCCATGACCGATCGCGAGTTGAGCTATGTCAAAAAGGAACAATTAATGATATTGATGCATAATTTTCGGCATCCCGCTACTTCGTTCTTCATCATCTTTGTCATTTCACACAAAGGCACGACATTAACCTTAACATTAATTATTTTTTGGGTAGTTAAACAAGATTCTAGCCACACCATCGGAGTAGAGTTTGGTTCTAAAGTTGTGAACGTTGGAGGGAAGTCTGTAAAATTGCAAATTTGGGATACTGCTGGACAAGAAAGGTTCAGGTGGGTAAATCAACATAGTAATGCTTACTCTATCAGCTTGCTCTGAGATGTACATATCCCTGCGAATAAATTTTTGCTTGAGAGACACAACTTTTGGGGGTTGCTATACAGATGGTAGTTTTAAAATAAGATGCTTTATAGCTTCTAGCATTAATTTGCAAATTCATTGAACATAATTATGTGTTTGCATTTTTATATCATAGCTAGTGAACCCTTTTATTTATAAGTAAGTACTTCTAATAGGTAATACCATGTTCTTTTGAATCCATCAGATGTTATCATGAATAAATAGAGGATACTTACATGGCTGTGCAGAGATACAAAATTTCTCTTTGAGTCTAGAAAAAAACTTTCCAAAAATCTTTTCTTCACTTGTAGAGAAAATCCTTGCAGTATTTTACTTGTCATTTAAACACCAAAGAAAATTCCAAACCATCCCACTTTTAAGACAGAATTTATCATGTAACCGTAACAACAGTGATCTTTTCAGGTGGTAGATAACGTGTCACATGTGGAGATATCACATTTTCATACAAGAGCTCTGCTGTTATTTCATTGATGTTTACCGGTATATAATAATACCGTTTATGCTAATTACCCATATCAACCTCACTCAAGGTTGTTGTTGTTTCTCACCCTAGCCAATCCTCTGAATGAGTAGATATTCTTGGGATGAGTAGATATTCTTGGGATGCTCTCAATTTTATGTCCGTCTCCTCCAAAAACACTCCCAATGATTTTATCTGAAACACAGGAAGAATGTGAATGATGTGAATGAGCTCATAAGAGGGCTATAAATCATAACTCCTACTTATTTTGCATATAAAACAAATTTCACATATACCTACATGCTTCCATGCATTAAATAATTACCTTATTTTGATGTGAAATATTAGGTCTGTGACCAGAAGTTATTACAGAGGAGCTGCAGGTGCCCTACTCGTTTATGATATCTCAAGGTAAACTGTAAAAAAACAACTCTAAAAAGTATGTTTATTATACAGTGTTTAATTGGACATTGTTTTAATAGGGCATAAATATACTTTGGAAGGTGCCTCAAATTCTGCATTCTCAATTTTTGCCTGCATTTTTTCTACTTGTTATAGTCGAGAAACATACAACTCTCTAACAAACTGGCTGACAGATGCAAGGACACTTGCTAGTCCAAACATCGTGATCATCCTTATTGGGAACAAAAAAGACCTTGATAGTGATAGAGAAGTTACCTTTCTGGAGGCCAGCAGATTTGCACAAGAAAATGGTTAGTACATGACTGTGTACAGGATATTTTCTCCTGTTTATAAGCATTTTCAGTGGCTAATAAAGTGGAACAATACTATATCATGAGATCGCCTTTTTTGTATTATTATTACAATTGAACCCCGTTCTATGGACGCTCGCTTAATATGGACACCTCATAATTAGGGACAGTTTTCCTTGTCCCTTGGGAAAGTCCATACATTTTCTCTAAATTAAACCCACTTAATACGGACACCCGTTAATGCAGACAATGGGCACTTTTTTCTTCCCCAATTAACAGATTCTTTTAGTAAGTTAGCCTCGCTAATGCCAACACTTTATTACCATGAACTTTATGCTTTTCCTTCTTGAAGGTAAAAAAAATCTTCAGTTGATAGCATGTCAATGTTCCCAGTGATACAATACACCGGACATGATGATTTGTAGACATCAATTTCAGACTATTTTCAGGCATCAAACTAGTTACCGTATTTTATTCGATTAACCGCCCTGGGCGCTTATTAAATTTTTGTACCTTGAGAGTGGGCGCTTATTCGAGGCTGGGCGCTTTTTAAACTGTCACCATTTTCAGCAAGTGAAGTATGTTTATTTTGCAAAAAAAAAAAAATGCTAATACCAAAACGCGAAGAAGTAACAAAGCAAGGTTTCTCTATACTACTGTGAAAAAAACTCCGTCCTCGGGGAAGTCTCTTATTAGAACTTATTCACTCAAGTGGGTGGGATGGGGGTGAGTGCTTATATGAGTTTGATTGGGAGGAGGAGCGGTGGGCACGTATTCGAGGCTGGGCGCTTATTAACTTTTTCTGCGTTCAGGATGGGCGCTTATTCGAGGTGGGCGCTAATTTGCAGTTGGGTGCTTATTCGAATAAATACGGTATACAGAGAAACGTTTTGATTCAGTAGTATATTAATGAGCAATTTTTTTATTGTTTCCATGGATTTAGTCTACGGAATGACGAGTTTGTGAAAGTTAGAGATGTTTAATTTGACGATGCTAATGTCCTCTTTTATTTCTTTAGTATTTTTTTGTTCAATAATAAAAGGTGTTTTTTGACCTTAATAACATGACCTGATTATTATTGCGGACACCTCGTTAATACAGACACTTTCTAATGGCCCCTTCAGGGTCAGCATTAATGGCATTTGATTGCATTATTAATAATGGTACTGCATACTAATTATGGGTTTACAATCAAGTTGTCTGCACGTCATCTCACGCTATTAAATTAGTTATGTCAATTCAAAATCAGAGTGGCCTATAATTTTAAGATGCGCAACAACATTATAATATCCTATTACACATTGACTGTGCTTGTCTTGTCTCATCAAGACTTACACCTGCCAACTCATTGCCATTAGTTAGTAGACCAAAACACAATGAAAATAACATTTATGCCATTGAGGACAAAATTAAACACAGCATGCGAAAGAGAAAGAAGAATAATGTAACCACAAACGACAAAGTCAGTGATGAAAAATGGAAGAATTGAATTATCTCTATATGTTTTAAAAGCTGCCCAATGTACAATTAACAATCATGGATTATGATCCCAGGACCGTGCCCGGTCTTTTTGCTGTTAATAGCCAGATTGCAATTGGAGTGTAGCAGTTTTTCCTAATACATGTGTTTGGTGAGGTGTCACTGTGGCAGTCTTAAGGGAAGGGTATGACTTGAATACTACTTGTGTTGAAAAAACCCATATTCTTCCATGTTTGTATTTTAGAGTTAATGTTTTTGGAGACAAGTGCTTTGACAGGAGAAAATGTTGAAGAAGCCTTCTTGAAATGCTCAAGAACAATCCTCGGCAAGATAGAGACAGGTACTGTATTTACATTACTGTAATGTTTGAAGAATAAACTTGACTCAGTTTCTTAACTCATTGACCCTTCCACCTTCTTTTCAACTTTTGACTCAGACCAGTTAGCCAATATCCGTTGACATTGCAGGAAAGAGCATCTTAAAATTGAGAAATTTACCTAGTGTAAAGGTGATGCATTAAAAGCAAGTGGAAATATTGCTCCACAAAGTCGTGTTATTTTACATATGTCTAGATAGATAGATAGACAGACAGACAGATAGACAGACAGGGTATAATAATATTGTTGGAATCAAATGTTTTAAATTCCTGTCTAAAGATTAAACAACGGCCAGTTTGTCTAAAGAGGGCCGTAAAATGAGGGAATGATGTTTCAGAGAACTTAGCTCCTAATTTTCCCAGTGAGGGTGAGGCCATATCCCTCACTCCACTACCACCCCCCCCCCTCCATGAGAGTGTTCCTCTGGCCACTACCCCCCTCCACGAGAGTGCTCTTCTGGCACATATTTTTTGCCTTAAAATATTGAATAGATGCCTAGAAAACAAGCCCCAGCTGGCTTCTTGTATAATACCATGGCCAGTCAGATCCCCTTTGCAAATTGTTTTGCACTTGTTTCTGAATCAAAGAAATTACAAAGCAAAATATTGAGATTCACATGTGACCAAGTCAGTCACTAACTTAAAGCCTTATTCCTTTACCCGTTCATATATTTTTATTTTTCTCTCCACAGGTGAACTGGACCCGGACAGGATGGGCTCAGGAATACAATATGGAGATCCATCTCTTCGAAGGTCAATACGCCCAGGGAAACAGGAAGAAAGGCAAAAATGTGCTTGCTGATCATTTTCTACCAGTGTTATTCGTTTATTTAGTAGTAACTCAAGTCAGTGGTACCTATCTCTTATGAACAGTAAAGCATTATTTTAATGTTGTAACTGCATGGTAGTGATACTGAGATTGTCATGTTATAATGTACTTATTGTTAGAGATGCGTTGAAACATATACTGCATTTCAAAGTTTGAATTTTTCACTAATAGTTAGAGAGTAGATACTTCGCTGGTAAAGTGACCAAAAAGTCTTCTTTTTGGTAAGGTAGTTGCCGTTTTATTGACTAAAAGCACAACTTAACCGCAAGTCCGCAAGAGATTCTCATCAAATTGAAGTTCAGTATAAAACAGAAAGTCAGTCAGATTTCCAGTGAGTTTCCTCAAGGTGGCTAATCTGGAATAGATTTTTGAAAAAAAAAATTGTTTCTTCTATAATTTATGGCTAAAATGGGGACACTTGTTTTATCATTAACCAGCTCCTTCTCCCTATCTGGGTAAAGGGCAGACACCTGTTTCATAGATACCAATAGATAATAGTGTTTTTGAACTGTTGTTCATTAGCTTTTCAGTGCCTCCCAGACACAATTTTGCATATTGGCAATGTTTGTTTCTTGCATGGCTTAATGAGCAAGTAAATAACAGTTACTGCAACTCTTGTAGATATCTACCACTACAAAGAAATTGAACAGGTCATTAACTGCAATACATGTTAGAATTATATCTTTTAAGTGTCATTGCTCAAATTGAAATGCAGAGAATGGAATTAGTTCATGTTTGATTGACCATATTCTGGAATAAGAATAAATGGAATCAGCTGTTGGCATTCCTTTCATCGCAATATTATCTAGAAATTTGCTTGAAAAAAAATTACAATGTATGTGTATGTAGAGTTTCAATTGAAAACTTTCACACAATTCTTATTCTGGAATACGATCAATCAAACCCTTCCTTAATGTACAATGCTAAACTTCTTTGATGCCATTTCTGGCATTGCTGGGGTACAAGGTTGCAAGTTATGGTCATGAACTTTGTAAATAATTGATGCAAAGCTTTAAAAGTAAGACCTTCTAAACTCACACTATAAAATGAGTGAGACCTCATTGTCATAATTAAAAGTAGAATAAGGACACTAATATTATACAAACACCAATGACATACCAGGTGAACTTTCGCACGAAAACAGGGAAAGATCACCATTGCTATGGCTACATAATAAATTGTGCGTTTCGCAGCAAAAAACTATTTAAGTGAGATGGTTTGGCATTCATTGGTTTTTATATAATAATACTAGAACATTACATAGCCGCTTGGAGATAAAAAGTTTCTCTTCTTCGTATCCCCTCACGGCCATGTAAAATCCTTTATAACTGACATTATAAACAAAATTAACTAGACAGCCCGGACACAGTCCCTTTAAACTCTAAACGCCTGAGGCTGGCCTATCACACATTTGGCCTCAACAACCTCTCTTACTCTATGCTCATTTAACCCTTTAAGCCCCAATATCCACATGCAAAGTCTCCAAACTGATCTCCATACATTTCCTTTAAGAAGAAGTTGAGGGAATTTGATAAAAGATCATGGTATTTTTTCATTGGGAATCATTTTATTAGTTCTCATAACTTTATCTCTTGAGAATGTACGGGTATCATTAGGAGAAAATATTTCTTGGTCACTCTTGGGACTTAAAAGGATTCAACAAAGTATTAAGGAGTAGCTTTTGGCTGAACATTCCAGAATTTTTATTGGTGACTAAATGAGGGGTCATGTTGCAGTACAATTCAGTTTTTCTGGATTTGTATTCTTGATATCACAATTGAGAAAAGTTTCAACCCTGCAGGGGGGCATAATATTGTCTTTGATGTATTACTTTCTCTGACAGAAACAACAGTCTGCTGTTAGTCTGCTCAGGTAAGTATAGCCTCCCACACAGATGTTCTTAGGGGTTTGTCACATGCTTCTGCTTTGGATTGCATGACAGATGGAGCCGAAGGAGGTTATTTAAATACAGTCTGGCCTTCAGTCTTTGGTGTTGGTTAAGAGTTAGCCTAAGTATCAGGCCTTCCTAAGGGGCTAGGGGAGAGGAGATTTTAGTTAAGGGAGGGGGGAGGGGGAGAAGACAAAGGAAGGTTTCTCTCCTTCAGCTCTCTCCCTTTTTCGCTTCCATCTTTCCCCTTTTCCCCAGAAATGCCTGATACTCAGGCTAGGTAAGAGTAAAACACAGTAAGCCACAGTTTTATTCACAATGGAGGAAAAAACATGGTTTTAACCGTTTGCTTTCAATAAAAATAATGGCACATGTGGCTTTTCCTGTCATGGCTTTATAACTGAATCTTGAATTGGACATCTTTCTTTGACAAATTATAGATTAAACCAATGTAGAGCTACAATAATTTAGTGCCAAAATCGTTAAGACACTGTAATGAATCATTAACATTACACCACTGTGAATGACTTCCATTTTAGAAACAAAACAATCTGGACACTTCCTCCTCTGCCCCCAACCACAGTTGCTTTCCTTTTTGACAGCAGCACAACATCATTTGGAGAGAATAGGGGAGGAAAAGCTTGCTTTTTACTGTTACAAGTAGGCAGAGAGCATGAGAAATATCATTGGGGACAGTAATGATTTTTGTTGCCAACGGCCGTATCCACCTTGTGAGCAACTGGAGCGTGGTGTTATTTTTACAGTAATACCGATCTGCATACTACAGTACATCTTTTTGTAGGTGATGGCTTTGATTAGTTGTAATTAACTTTGTACTGGTTATTAAAAGGAACATCCTAAAATAATTTGTTAATGTACAGAGTTGTAATTGGTAGCAGAATAAACTTTAAAAACTTCCTGTTTCGTTTGCAAAGAATTGGAAAGTTAATGAACATTTTATACTCAAACAAGCGGTATTGTCAACCTTCTAGTTTTCCCATTGAAGGCAGAGCTTTGAGAGGATCTGCTACAATCTTCCAAATTCGCATAAATGTTGTCTCTTGTTGGCACCAGTAGTTCACATAGAACGAATGTGGCCTCCAAGAAAAATCCCCACATTTTTTCCTGGTTTAAGAAAATGTTAATAAAATTAATTACTGAACACAACAGTAAAATCAGAGGCTAATACTACAGCAATTTTTGAACTCAGGCAGAGTAATTAACTCACACTAGTCCAGTGGTTAAACCGACACAAACATTTATTAAAACAGACATGCACTGCATACACAACACACTTAACTATTATAAAAACATTATTGTTTTTCTGACTACCATTTTTAAAACTAAACTCAAGGCAAGGCTGTACTTTTGAAAGCACAACACTTGTTCCCGTTGTCATCGCAGGAAATGTCTTTTGACGTCCTCTTCTTTACAAAAGTTTCTTTGATACTCAGTCATCCACCAAGTTTTAGGAAATGCAACATCAGCATCAAAATGTGCTGGCTTTTCTTTTCTTTTGACTGCTTCCTCTCGCAGTTGTACCTTTCTTTTTACTTCTTCTTGTCTTCTTTTCTGAGCACGCAAGGCAGCTGGATAGACCTGTAAAACAGATTATCATCAAAATAGGTTGTAAATAAAAGATGTAGAAATCCTAGTCTGCTTAAATGTCTTCTCTTTTTCCCAGCAAATGTCAAGATCAACCCATGTGTGGGAGAGTCTGCCACGTTAATCAAAAGGTGGGGAGAGTGCAAAGTGCTATTTCCCGCCAAGATTTTGCCAACCTATGAAACCAAGAAGGCAGCTTCTTGAACTCAAGGCAATGTTTGATAATCACAGAGGAAAAGCGGGGGACTGAATCGTCTAAAATTTTACTCTTGGCAAATATGAAAGAGAAGAAACATTTGCAGTACAATAATTGGTAAGGGTGATCACACTTGTCACATTACATGTAATTCTGTCAGCAACCAAAGGGCTACTGCATTTAATACCTTTACCCCCCTCCCCACCACCGGTTGAGGGTAAGTTATAAAAATATTGAGGATTTCTTTAGGGGTAGAGTGAAAAAAGTATATATGGCATTCTTTGTGGGTGGAGCTTTAATTTTCATGAAATTTTTCAGGGGTAGAACCCATATTCTCCAGGGGTAAACCAATGTTTTATGGAAGTCTTCAGGGGTGAATGCAATTTTATCTTCAGGGGTAAGAAGAAAAGGTACTTGGTCCTCAACCGGGGAAGGGGAGCTTGAGGCGAAATTATTTTACACCCAAAATTTTTGCAGAAATGTCATCTTCAATGTCTCTTGGGATGATTGTAGCACCCAGGAGACATTGGAGAGGCCCTCCTAGGGAAGTTACATCTGTCCCTTGTCTGAACTTCAAATCCTGTCATTTCACGTATTGAGGAGGAAGTCAGATCACAGTCAGCATTTTACTATTGTACTTGCACTTTTCTCTGTCACTGTCACAGTTCAAACCTATCTTAGTGTCATTTGCCGCCATTTATGCTGTCCTGTGTTGCTGATTCAAGGCCATGGCGCTTGTCAGAATTTCACCCTAACGCATCAGTCAATTCCAGCAGCTAAGTACCAGTCAAATTGCCGTGAAGATTAAATGTTACAAAAAAGATAAGCATTTAAATAATTAATTTAATTTTATCTGCTCTGTTTATGTTATTTAGCTTACTTCTCGCTGTGAAGCCAATACGTTGTGCGTTTTCCACATATCCACAGGTCCTTCGTTAGCCATTCCATACGGAAGGAAAGGAGCTCTGTTCTTTTCCTTTTTGGAGTGGCGATTTTTTTCGGGCGAAGTCGACCGCGAACGGTTTTTCCTAGGTTGTTTACGAGCATCTTTCTTTCTGCGATCACGTTCCTTTGGTCTCCACGCGTCTGTAGTGACTTGTGAATGTTTTGGTTTTTCCTCTTCGTCTTCTTCGTATCTTAGCCTCTCAGGAAGTACTAAAGCCTTATCAGCAGCATTATCATGCCTTTTAATTTCCTTGCGTTCCTCTTCCCAAGCTTGTTTTGGTTCCTGACGGTCGCTTATTCTTTCATCACGGGGAGGCTTTTCGCGACCGCGACGTCCTCCGTCGTAACTTCCATCGTCTGCTGGAATTTCTTCAATATCTTCGTCTTTGCTATCACTCTCCCAGCTCCAGGGTTGATGCCGATGCTCCACCGATCTACGATCTGATCGATACTGAAGCTTACTAATAAATTCTTTCTTACTGTAATCGTCCCATGAAGGCTCTTTGTAAGCTCGCCTATACGCAGAACTGAACACCATTTTGACAACAACGCCAAAGCGTGGGAGCCGCGAAGTCGTCTCACTGGATGACTGGCTCTACATTCTGATTGGTCAATCAGATGTCCGGTCGTCATGGCCGCGTGTTCCCGCGAAAAATTACTTTGTAAACAGAGGGAAACAAAGAAAATTAAGGCATTCTCTCGATTTTTATTTGCAGTAGAATAAATTTAAACTTAAGCAGTAGCCCATGATGGGGGCCAAACCTTTTTTGACAAAAATAATGAGCGGTCATCATAGACTGCAGATTCAAGCAGATTTCGGGTCCATCAGGCCAAGTTTGAACCAAGCGCCTGCGGGCTCGGGCAATTCCAAGCGATATTTAATCCTGTATTAGCGATAATTTAATCCTACGGTATAATAGGATTAGTCGATCCAAATCGGCATTTGTCGGGCATTTGTAGGGCATTTGTCATTTTGTTTTGGAAAACTGAAAGGAACCGGGGAGGGGGGGGGGTTGGTCAAGAATGCTTGGAATGACTGAGCCATTAGAATTGGACGCCCCCAGATATTTGGTTCAAACTTGGCCTGATGGACCCGAAATCTATTTGAATCAGCAAAAAAGATCACAGTCATTGATCTGATTAATCTCAAATTTGTACAAGGTAAATGGAATTCCGGGACGAAATTTACCAGTCCGGAATTTTGCGTACCATTAACCCAAACGGAATTCCGCCTGGAAAAGCCGGACTACCTTTTCAGATGTTTCGTTGCTCCTGGAATTTTTCTGGGGAACCACCCAAAAAAGTCGTGTTTCATTTACTTTCCAACCGGATTTTCCCGAAACGTTTTGCAAACGGTAAACAACCAGCTCCCTACAAAGGATCAGAATTCATATAAAAAAGGTCGTGGCTGTCATCGTATGTTGTCCTTCAGTAGCCTGAATTTCAGATAATTACTTCGAGTAATTTTTACTCCTTCATGTGGAGTGTCAGTAAAACGCGGGGTCGGGGTCGGGGCCGGGGCCGGGATCGGGGTCGGGGTCGGGGCCGGGGCCGGGGCCGGGGCCGGGGCCGGGGCCGGGGCCGGTATCTATCTCTTTTCTAAAGAATGCTGTTTTAGGGTTAGACTTAGGGCGCTTTCCAAAAGTAAGAATTTTCAAGAGGTTTTGCTGAAAAACCATCTCCTTTGTGTATAATATTTAGGATTTGACTGATCTGGATGGTTAGTTTTTATCAAAAGGGAAATTCTTATTACGATGGGAATGTGCTGGCCGGTCAGTTCTGACAAATGGAAAGCGCCCTTAGGTTTGGTTAGGGTTAGGGTTGACACTAACCCTAACCCTAACCCTAACCTAACCCTAGCCCTAACCTCGAAATTTTTGAGCGCAATGACTGATGCCAGGCATGCGAGCAGCTGATTATTAGACAGTCCCGCTAAAATTTCTCATAATTATATATAATTGTGGAAAATTTTGGACAGTCAACCAATCAAAATGACTACCCCGCTTTTGGGTAGAGTGCCCTAACTGGACGGCATTAATGGCTGGTTTATTCAGACGTTGCTTAGAGAAGAAAACGACACGAAGTTATTAATCGTCTGAAATTCAGGCTAGTCCTATTGCTACATTTTGAATAACGTTGACGCTTAAGTGAAGTCTTAGACTTCTGTGGCAGATCCAGACTTAAGATGGGGGGGGGGAAGGCGGTTATCCAGACCTTGAGATAAGGCAGGATGGGCTCCTGGATAAGGGAAGGCCCGGTCTCTAAAAAACTTTTTTTCGGCCTTTCGGGCAGAGCCCCCCGGGCCCCTCTACTGTGTGGATTCCAATTTTTTAATCTTTAAGAGTTGTGTAAGGCGTCACTCGAACTTCAAATTTATTTTAATTTATTATTATTTTTTATTCTAATTCAATATTTATCCAGGAGCATCCAATTAACCAGTCCTAGTTTAAATGAAGCCCTGACACAACACAAAAACAAAGACATTAAAACATTAAAACTAGAAAATTAATTAAGTTACAAAGTCAACATGTACCGCAGGCGTTACTGTTTAAAATGGCGCTTTAGGTTCATTTTGAATTCATTGAAGGTCTCTACTTGTCTAATGGTTCTCGGTAGGGTGTTGTCGGTCTGAAGACCGTATTGTTAATGGAAGCGAACTTCGTACGATTCGCCATGCAATTGTCAGTGATAATAGCAATTTTTCTCCTTTCTCACTTTTGATGGTGACTTGAAATGAAATGATTAATGAGCATGCAGATGAACGGACAGGTAATAAGCAAATAAATTGTCCTAACACCTTAGATGCTTCTCAAGGAGACTGGAATAAGAAGGTGTTTACTAGATCCAAGTAAAAAATCCAGTGAAACATTTTCGAGTTGACGCCATGCTGATCGTTTGTGTGTTATCAATTTTGATGAAATTCTTCCCCATCCGAGGACAATTCTGTAGTTCAAATGAAGGCAAGTGCATGTTTTATTATAGTAAACCATGCTAGTTAGATAACAAATTAAAAATACTGCAATAACTGTCAGTACTTTTGGTAATAACAGATTTGGAAACTTCAATTGCTCTTGAAATTGCTTGATGTTTGTTAATATTATCACAGAGATTTAATTGGCAAATTTTGGGGTTACAAAATAACTTCATGGTTGTAAGTAACAAATATTTTAGTGACTGATGCCACCATATTTTGCCGTTAAATTTGTAAACAAGGTTTGTCGTTAGCAGAACACAATGGATACCATGGGAAAATTATCTCTTGTGGTTACACCTAAAGTGGGCTAATTATATTCCTGACTGAAAATGGATCATAGTCTTTAGTATCCTCAAGGCCGATTCTATGTTTTAAATCAGCTACCTTAAACTGCCGCCTAGAAGCTCAGCTTGGCTTAAAAATCGTCGTAATGGGTTTTGGAAGGGCTTGTAAATATATAGAGAGGTTCATATCCGAGGGAGCCTATAACCGGAAAAGAAAAAGCGCTTCGAAACAAGCTTCAGCAGTGCTGATCAAAATACGTTTTGCTTAAACGTGTTTTCAGTTAAGCTTCAAAAAGTCACTATCCACACTCTAAATCAGAAAGATCTGTTTTAGCCCTAAAAACAGGGCCGTTTCGGTGAGTAAAATACAGTCCTATTTTTGGGTCTAATTTGGCTCCCTTAAATCAGGGCCAATACAGTCTAATTAGATAGGGCTGATTTGGTCCCAGGGCTGAAATGGGCCCTACCGTGGGCTGGAATAGCCTTTTGATAGAGCTTTTTTGGCCTAAATTGTGCTCAAATGGCTCCAAGAAGGGCTGAATCAGACTTTGACCTGTAGGGCTGAATTGACACTTTGGGGCTGAAACAGATCTTTTTAATTTACAGTGCAATACATTTGTTATGGGATATATCTATGCTATGTATACGGGGCTTATGATTGGATGAATATGTTTGTTTACATGAAGATGAGCCTATGATGAGATTAGGGGGCTTATACGTAGCAGTTTACGGTATTTGCTTTGCTAATCAATCTTCTATTTTGAAAAGAAACCTGCCGCAAACTGGAGTTTAGACCCGACCATACTTTTGAAGGCAAACGCCTTAAAGGTCATGTGATTAAAACTGTTGATGCCATGGACACGGATTTCTGTGAACTGCAGTGCTACCTGGAACCAAGCTGTCTCAGTTTTAACTTCATGAAATCAGCGAAGAAGTGCCAGTTAAACAATTCGACTTTTGAAAGACAAAAGAACAAACTGGAGAAGAATTTGGATTTCATTTACAGTGGTGCCAAGGTGAGCGCACACTGTGTAGTTCTGGAGAATATCCATCCCCCTCCCCGACAGAGGGCATTTTTGCTTTAGACCCCCTGCCCCCTGGGATTTCCAATCCAGGGGGTGCTTGTCATACCCTTTACTCCCTGGAATTTTTCTGACGTTCCTTCTTGGTTGGGTAGCCCCTGGAAATAATATTTTCGTCAAAAACGCTTTTTCATTATATTATTATGCGAAATGTAATTGTTTCTGCGATAAAGTAAGAAAAAATCTTTTTACTGATAGCTAGTTAATTCACGAGCCGATGACAAAAAGCCGCGAAAAAAGCACTCCACAGCCGACGGTAATTAAAAGGTCCTCAATGAAAACAGTAATTCTTGTTTTGAAACGCCGCTTACCAGTAAAAAAAAAAACAGATAGCTTGCTCAAAAAAGTAGCTGTGAGTTTTTTATAACTTACCAATCTTACTTGGAGTTACTGGAAAAAAGTCCTCAAAAGGCACTCCCTTCATAACTTACGTACACTTTTTAAACTTTTTAGCCGACTGTAACTTACGGACTGATCACTCCCCCCCCCCCCACCCTCCCTCCCCAAAATTTATGGCTTAATGTCAAGGAGAGCGGGCTATGATAGCGAGCGGGGAGGTGGCAACAAGGTTCCACTATTTTCAATACTATCCGAAAAAAACGAGCTTACCAAGATGTTTATTATATTATCAGTTCCGTTTTGTGGAACAAGCAAAGGAAGCAGACAAAAGCGCAATTAAAACCCATCACCCACATAACATTGGTCATGCGACAAACAAATATATATTACGCTGATTTAGCAGCAGTAGGGGAACGTCTGTTGACGTCGGCGCGGGAAAATCAAACAAATTGGCTTGACTAATGGAGGAGGGGCAAATTGAGCACCGGAAGTCGAGTTTAGTCCTTTTCGCGCCCTTTCCGTCGTCAAATGACGTTCCCGTTCTGTTGCTAAATCAGCTTATTCTCGGAAAGGCGGACAATAAGATATTTTCACCGATGGTGCCCAGCGCGCGCATCTTCGACGCGCACAGCTCCCCAATAACTCGCGTGTACTGTTTTGAGTAGAAGAAACTCAGCCTAGTCCATAGGCGCGCTCGGCGCGGTCAATCCTGGACTCTACCGTGAGCTGTGACGTCACCGAGAGTTACTCGCCGAGACTTTCCCAGACTTCGCGCGGACAAGGGACCAAGAGAGAACGACTAGGGACTAGGGACTAGGCTGGAAGAAACTAGCTGACACTCTTGAAGGTCACGTGAAATTCTTTTGCAGGACGCCTGTGCGAAGAAACCTTGCGAAAATAACTCCACCTGTCAAACCGGTTTTACACACAAAGGATACCGCTGTATATGTACTGCTGGATTCAAAGGACAGCGTTGTGACCAGGGTACGTTTAATGCACATGATTTTTGATCAGCGGCGTTCAGTTGCAGATCAATTGTCCCTGAACGAATTGACCTGGCGTGACAATGATGAGGCAGAAATACGCTAACCTGGGACCAGGCTTCGTAGTGGGAGAGCCTGGTTCCAGCCTAGAAAAAGGCTTTTTGTAACATACAGTCACGTGATACAAAATAAATAGGCTGATAAGCAAACAACTGCAAACGGACAAGAAAAACAAAGACCTCACACTTAAGTTCTTATTCCTTTTCTTTTCTGTTTATTTCAAAGTTCCTACTGCATTGCCTTTTTCACCTCACCAGTGTGGCTGTTTTGTACCAGGTGAAGCTGGTCTTGGCGTGCAGAACTGTGAGTATGCCGTATTTCCTCGAATAATAACCGTCCCAAGGATATTGCCATTAAAAGGGAATTAATCAAGGAACCAAATTTAGAACAGTAAAAAGCCCATGTTCAGTTTATTTGATGTGATCATTTTTTGATTTAATGGGATAATAAAACAAAATATTTAGGGCACGACTTCCAGTGAGTAATATTTGATATAATCGCCTTCCCTGGAACAATCGCACCCTTTTGCGTGACAAAAATAATAATCTTCCCCGGCTATTATTCAAGGAAATACGGTACATCAAATTGAAACGGAATAACGTTTAAAGGCTGAGCTGTTGCTTAAAGTTGACTTTATCCAGTTTCTCTTCCAGCTATAGAGGTAAAGTCATGTCAGGATTATTTTGAAGTTTACAGGTAAGGTGTTTTCTACTATTAAAGTCCGAGTAATTGCATATTTCACGCCTTCTCTTCGGCTTATGCTCTCATGGTGGTATTGATGCCATTAGAACGACTACCAATTCAACAACCCATTCGTGACTATGTACTGACTCCATGCATTCGCCAGTACAATAGCCCACGTCCAACGTATTTAAATTCTAATATGACCCGAGGCTTTCTGGTCATTTTTCTATATTTGTTGTGCTTTTCTTTGAGCTCAAGTCTCTTCTGGGAATTACGAGATGGTCCCGAAATCATCGGAGCCAGAATTTTAAGTATCGAACGTAAGTTATTTTTCAAATAGCTCGCGAGTCAGTTCCCTTTTAGAAGAAAAAAAAATACGAATTTACCCGGCCCAATTAAATTTTATCTACGGGCCTGTCAAGGGTACATTTCTCTTTGCTAGTATATATCCGCACCACCAATATTCCATCATGTCACCGCCAATGCCCACACTGTTTCTTTATGTGCAATTTCAACCTAGTAGCATATGTATGGCTTCCGTGCCAGTTTGCAGTATACTGAGTCCCAATGTCACACCTTATCTCCATACTAGCACTTTGAGTGCAATTGCCAACTTAACGTGTATGGCTTCCGGGGGTGTATGCTCTCTTATATTTACCGACAGAGGAGCGGAGCCAAAGGGCATGGTCTCTTGACCCTCTTCGGTCTGTGGGTATGGATTTTAATGGTTTGGATCTTAGATGGGGTGGAGGGTCTGGTATTGGTTATGCTTTATAGTCTATTATAAGTCTCTTGAGAACAGCTATTTAGGACTGAAATAGGGGAGGGAACATAATATCAGCTAATGTCTCGAGCTCTTGGTCTAAAGCTAGGATCAGGGTATATTACACCCCCTACCGAATTTTCTGGGCGTAACCCACCCCCCGGCGGTAACAGTATCGCTATAAATCATAAATTTGACTTGAAGTACAGTCAAACCTTCGGGTGCCACTGTAAGCGACCACCAGCCCAAAACACCAGAATTTTTCCCGTCAAATCTCCAAAGCTGGAACCTCTCGTAAACGATCACCCCTCGTAAGTGACGGCAAACACTTTTTGCACACAGTTTTAAAATTTTCCATTGTTAGTACTCTCTTGCAAGCGGCCACTTGACGCATGTCCTGATCTTTATGCTCACTGTATTTACTACGTTTGACTCAGGGGATACGAAGAACTTTTTTTAGTCCCAACACATAATTAAACATGTCATGATCGGGCATGACTTAAGGTGATGTTACACGGGACGATTCAAAACGATTTTTAGCGGAACACGTGTTTAAATGTTCGAACAACATTGCAGCCACTCGAAACAATGTAACAACCGAATGTTGCAACGTTAGCTGTGTTGTGCTTAAAGTGGTCGTTGAGAATCGTCCCGTGTAACTACATCACCATGCTTTAGAAACTGAATGCAGTAAATTCCCCTTCTAAAAGTGTACATAACTTGTGTCGGTACCTCTAATCGGAGGAGATCCCCTCTGGTTCGATTCTTGAGGGTCTTGAAGCGACCACTTCTCGTAAGATAACTCCGAATCAATTTTCGCGTTTTGGGTGGTCATTTACGGGAGATTCTACTGCATGCATTGTCATTCATCCCGCAACAGGGTCATGGGCTACTGTCCCGCAACCCATATTCGATCCCATCGAAAGGGTACAAATACTCGCCACCCAACTTTTGTCTTATCACTCACTCCCAGTTTAAACAATCGACCAAAGGGAAATAATCCTCAATCGATATAAAGTTGTAGTGGTCCAAAAGATACTTAAGCAACTCTCCTGGGATATAGTCTTAGTGCTGTAAACTGCGGTAATTACAAGCAGGGATGGCTCAGCAATTCAAACGTTTACGGCTGATAATTGTTATGCTAATCAGGAAGAGTGAAAGCCAACTTGCTACTCTGATGCTTGGCTCACATCAAACTTCCGTTCTCTGTCACATGGGAGACTTTGGATGCGGAAATGGAGGATGGACACCGGTCATGAAGATGAACGGTAACGAGGTACTATTTCATCCTTTTTACTCTCAGAGTGCATATGATGGGATCTTATATATCCGGCGGTGTAAAAATTTTTGTAAGAAAAGTACTACCAATGAAAGAGTGTACTAACATTTTTTTTCGGCATAGTGCTATTTTGTTTCCCAGCATTTTGCGAAATAAAATTTGACTTGTTATATTTATTTAGTTAAGCTTATTTTATTTATTTTGTGTAAGTTATTGGATCGTTCGGATCACTGTGCTGGTTATTAATGCACTCGGTCAATATAAAGCATAATTAACTTCGATGGCAATGAAAACGTCAAATTAAATTGGTTTATTCATATTACTCAAAACCTAATCCTTTATGATGCTGAAACCCGGATATGCTTTAAACGCCGAGGGCTCCATCTCCTTCATCTTAACCTCGCTGAATTCCAATTGGTTTATAACTACTCCGGATAACATTCTTGTTATAAATGCTATGGGAATTGAACATTCAAAGTATAGTAACTGAAAAAGATTGCGAGGTATCGTGATTGTTGATGAGAGAACAATAATTATGTACTCAAAGAAAGGTGCAAATTGATATCAGAAAAAAGTATTGAAGTACGTGAAGCTTTATTTGCACAAAAACTCAACATTATAGTTAATCTGTTGATCTCCATTTTTCTACTTTGAAGCAAACCTTTCACTTCAATTCCGACCTCTGGAGTAACAACAAAAACTTTAATCTCGACGGTGGGAAGACTGGATTTGACTCACAAGAAACCAAACTTCCCTCCTACTGGAACACATCCTTCTCCAAGATCTGCCTTGGTATGAAGATCGGCCAGCAGATCAAGTTTATTGTCATCAACCAGCAGGCGAATTCATTGCACTCCCTAATTGCTGACGGAGTATACCGCGCTACCTCACTGGGTCGTGACACGTGGAAGTCACTGATTGGTTCTCAGGGCTCCTTACAGCGCCATTGTAACAAGGAGGGGTTCAACGCAGCGACTAATATTCATAATTCCAAAGCGAGAATTGGTATCATCGGTAATGAACAAAGAAACTGTGGCTCACCAGACTCTAGAATCGGGTTCGGTACTGGAGGATATCCCGAGACCAGGAACACGTGTGGAAATGAGGCTAAACATGGAGGAGACAACGGCAACAAACAGATAAGAGCCATGGGGTACATTTTAGTGCAGTGAAAAGCACTCGACGACTCACTACCTCTACCTTTGTTGTACTAAAATATGTTGGGTTTAAGAACTTGCCAATTTTTTTTTTATCCTCGTCTTAGTTATTATCACCTATGGACAAAACTTTGATTGAAATTCCATTCGGCGTATAGTAGTAGTACACCACTGACTATAACATAACTTTAAGGATGCTTTCTATTGGGAAATCTGGATTTAGATGTCGAAATCCTGATTTTTGATTGCAATAAAACACATGAAATCCAATAACGGATATCAACACCGAGATATCTGTCCTTGAATTTCCTTTCCTTCCTTCCTTCCTTCCTTTCTTTCTTTCTTTTGTCTTTTTTTTTGGTGGGGGGGGGGGAGTGTGAGGCTGCTGGGGATGTAGGCGAGGGGGGAATCCGAGTGTTGTTGTGAACAGCCGTCCTGCACGTGCAGGCTTAATTAACAGAAAAAAAAAAAGATAAGGGCTATGCAAATCCTTTTTTCTAGTTTCCTAATAATACAAAAAAAGAAGGAAATCCAAAAAAAATACAGAGTTGTAATTCTTAATTGAAATTCACCTTCTTAATTTAAGAACGGATTTCGGTTTTTTTATTTCTAAAGAGGAAGGGGTAAGAATGCCTAAAATCGATATGAATCGAAAAAGTAGACCGTTTCCCTGACAATGGTAGTCTCCTTTGCAGTCCTTCCTTGGGTCGTCACGTACCCAACGCTCTTCCCACAGGAGCGTTGTGTGACGACACTTAAAACAGCTGCGCAGGAGACATCACACCAGTTCAGTGATCACGTGATAGAGATCTTTAGATTTGAGGACGAGGAGGAATACAAGTTAAGGACGAGATTCAACTTAACGTTTTGCGGCGTAATCTCAATAAATATACACCCCAGACAAGACAGACAAGTCAGCACTGTTATTCAGTTTATGGAAGGAGGCTAAGCCTTTTCCTGATCCCAAAATAATGTATGAACTTCTAACTGTTGAAAACTTCTAGCTTTTCCTCACTGTGACTTTTTTGCTTAAACTCAAAGTAGATGGGTACTCTCTCTCTCTCTCTCTCTCTCTCTCTCTCTCTCTCTCTCTCTCTCTCTCTCTCTCTCTCTCTCTCTCTTTCTCCCCCTCCTCATATTTGCCTTTTCCTAACCATGAGGGTTTATCTCTCTCTCTCTCTCTCTCGCACGCCCCTTGGATTTTTGCTATTCTAACAGCCAAATGCGCGGAACATCACATCATCATCATCATCACTATCTCACTTTTTATTGGGATCAGAGTCGAAAGCACTGCGAGTGGAAAATCAAACAGACGGTAGCGAAAATAAATCTCCGCCGCCCTCAAACTGACCTGTGTAGAACTGAAGTTGATGGTTAGAATGACGACGGCTAGCGATCACGTTTTCCGCCACACTAACAAAATTTCGTGCAAATCACGATATATTTAAGATTGTACATTGTTAGTGAAAGTAAGGTGCCATTTGGATTGCATGATCCCTACATTAAGTACTGGGGATGGTGGCGAAAGTGCCCTATCAGGTTAGTCATAAAATGACGGGATGGTGTTTTCCCACAAAAATTTCGGGATCGGGATAAAGGGTACCCAAAAATAAATATTCAACTATCACAGTCCATGGCTGCCACTGTCCTTCCACTGTCCGAGTTATATGGCTGTACGCATGCATAAGGTACCGCCGGCTATACGGCGGACTTGGTAGTGTGCTTTAGCGCTGAAATTGGTATATCTATATATGTACTTGGTGTAAAAGAAACATGTATTAAGAAAACCCGTTCAAACCATTTTCAATAATTGTTATCAGGTGTCAATTTCCTTTCTGGCCTTTAAAAAGAGTTTTAATTTGAGCTCCTCTATACGATGGTCAGGCCAGTGAGGAACCTTTTCGACAAACAATTATCCAAACCCTTCGATCAACATCCCACGGCCCCCACGCTCGCGTAGACGATTATATTTAGCCGAACGAGTGTGTTTCAAATTAAGTTCCCTGCTTCGTTGCCTTTTATGTTTTTCCCGGGGGGAGGTACTCCTGTATATGGGCTAGATAGTTATGTTCCGCTCGATAGGGTAGGGTAGCGTTTTTGAGGGTCTCCATCCTAAAAACAGGGTATCATTCTTGCCCTTGTTTGCGTTGTGCTCCCTTTGTGATCCTTAGAGAGTTATAGGGTACCATTTCTATATCAGCTAAAATTCAAGTCCGTAAATGCCCAGCTACACTAGAAACAAATCATCTGTTAACTGTGGACTTTACCTTAGAATATTGGAAAGAGACTAACAGAAGTTTTTTGTGTTTCCACTGATTTCTTAGTTTTTGTTTTTCCCTTGAATCGAGACTCATTCTTCAGGTTTGGGCTTTAAATACTGTAGGGTATCAGTTTTCGTTCGTCATATCCGTAAATAGGGTCAGCTTTTAAGACTCTGGGTGGCCCACCTATCCGAAATTTATGGTAATACCCCTCGGGGCAGACTACAAGTCTAACAAAACAGATGTTCGTTGTTTCGTATCAAGGCAAGGGGTCTCAAGGTAATAGCTATTCATCAGCGAACAATCTAGTATACTTTGCGCTCGTACGCTTCAATCTGAAAGATACTTTGGCCTCGGTGTCACAACGGTACCAATTTGTTTGGTTTTGCTGTTTTTCTACTATGTTGATGTGTGCGTCTGTAGGGAATAACTCTGTAAAGTATAAGCTTTGCTGTATTAAATCGCACTATCCATCACTAGAAATGATCACAGGCAAAGGTGAGGTAATAGAAATCTAGAAAGTGCTAGGTTACTTCGCCCAACGCATGGTGGCCTGTTCTAATTTAAGGACGACGATTACAGGTGTGAATAAGTAATGAATGCCATGAAATGCATTTGTAGCAAAACTGATTAAGCAGATATAAGCCTTTTTATGACTAAACTTTATCTGATCTCGTAATATATTTCCCCGCTGCATGTATACATGGTATATAAGGCTAAAAATTTCCCAAAACGACGCGAGACAACTAAATATGATGTATAAAGAATCAAGAGAGAAAGAGGTAGCTCATTCTCTGTTGTCAGAATGCCTCAAAAGAATTAGTAGGACAGAGGTGAGCTTCATGTTATGTAATTAAGGGACTGGGTCGTTAAACGTTCCAAACTGCAAAAAATGCGAAAAACAGAGACTACAGCGTATTTACCTCATTAACAAAATATAAAATAAATTTGAAAGAATATAGGTAAAAGAGCTCGTGTTCGGGAAGTTTTTCTGTTGTTTTTGTGCGCCCCCGGAGTAATTTACATAGAACTTGATTTTTTTCTTTTATTACCCCTTAAAGCAATCTTTTTTCGCCAACCAATAGAAAGTCTAAAATTAAAGTTTTACATATGCTACTCTATAATAGTTCAGATTCTAGAGGACTATATAAAGTAAACACTTATAAAAAAAATCGTCAATATTTTTTAAGTACTGGCCATTAGTATTGCGTCCAAATGTCCAGATAAGTTTGAATCTTATAGTCGTATAGTACATAGAGCACCGGTATCAGACGAAGCATTGTTTTATGCGGTTTGGACGTCGGACACCTTTTAGGAAAGTCAACCTGAAAGAAGAATTTGTTTTTTAAACAAAATAATTGATTGACCTGCTGGTCTTTAAATAATGCTGTTTAAAATTTTGTGGATGTTGTTGGAGTGTCTGTCCTAGATTCCTGCACAGGCCTCAAATGAAGGTTAGTTTATTCGAGTTGGAAGTTGAGTTAAAATTAAGGAAAAGTTGAAACCAAACAAAATATAAATTTAGTTCACTCGCGTTCTCAGTCAAACGGATTTGTTTTTTAAAATTCTATAGTTCGTAAACAAGGTCCATAACTTTAACATAGAGCCACAAGTTGATTGCTTGGTTCTAAAAGAAATATTGATGTATAATACATAAAAAATTCTGTGGCTTATATTTCTAGGTTTAACCCAGAAATGTTTTACCTCACTTAATCGCGCATAATCAGTGGAAATCCGTAAATATTTAATTTAGCACAAAGTTGGTTTATCATGTCACATTACCAAATATTCTTGTACATTTATTAAGTATTTAGTCGTAAAACCAACTAACGTCAAGATTGAAGATTAAAAGAGATGACATCAGAAATAATGTCGAGCGCTTTGCGACATCTGTAGATTCCCCTATGTGATCTGGCGAGGTAATAGTGATTTACCCTGGCCTATGATGATTACAAGAACGCTCTTAGTAGCGTTGAGTCTCGCTTGCTTGGAGATAACTTTTTGGTCAGCTGGTGCTGATATGCTACTTTTTCGTTTGGAATACAAAACGAGTGTTATATGTCATAATGTAAATACTCAAAGGGTCAAAATTGCAAGAAGAGACGGGCCACAAATCTTAGATGTGAAACCTTTGAAAACCCTCTGCATATTGATATTTCTCCAGTGAGGAGAACTCTTTCAATACACTCAATAAAATTGAACGATTATCTTTATGAGTATAAATGTAATTATGTGTCTTCTTTGTAGCGGACAAGATACGGCTTGGTACAGTTTTTGTTCAGCACAAGAAAAATGCGCAAGTTTAGCAGAACTTTACACAACAGACAGTTCAAGTGGTATCCTCCGTGTCTTTTAATTGGTTTAATTGCCTTCTTTTTCAAAAACCAACATTTTCAAAATTCAATTTGATTAGGAATGGTAAAGAACAACCACTCTGTAGATGTGCTACCTTTCAATCATTATTTTATCAGTTTAAAAAATGTATTTGTACGTTTACTTACCTCCCAGACTCATGTCGTAAGCTTGAGATGAAGCTCGACCATATTTTTGAAGGAAAACGTCTTAAAGACCACGTGATTCGCAGCGTTGACGCCATTGATGCCGATGGCTGCGAAGTGCTTTGTTTCTGGGAACCAGACTGCGTTAGTTTCAACTTTAAGAAGTCTATGAGCCAATGTGAGCTGAATAACTCCACTTTCGAAGAACAAGAAGATAAGCTGGAGACAAACTATGATTACATTTATCGAGGAGCCGAGGTAAGAAAGGAACTTCAGTTTGACTTAAATCATGAATTAAGTACGGCGTAATATTTGAGGCAAATTAAAAGGGCTAGATTATATAAATTATACGCGATGGCCTTTGTACCTAGCAACGAACGATGCCTTCTTTTATTAGAACTAACTGGAAACGATGATTGAATTTGAACTGCGGGATGAAGATCATCGAAAAGACGCAAACTCGCAATTTGTGATCCACGATTCTCAGTAAAACAGTTAGAAGCGAAGCTAGAGACGTTGTGGCTACCTTAAAGTAAATTTAAATTTAAAGGTACTGCACCCATACTTACAGGTAGCTATTACGACACCAGAATGAGGATATGAGGTTATCCCTATATTAAGATCTCTAATTACAGATAACCAACGCCGCAGCGCAGGAAAGGTTGACCACACCACCGGGGTCTATGCCCTCTTAACCAGCGTGGCAGGCGTTCGAAGGGATCGAACAGGGATCAAAGGAGTGGGGATTTCGAGCCCCCAAATTCCCTTTTCGTTCCCTTTCTTAAACCATTTGTAGATGTCATTGCAAAGGCAGCACTTTCCCCTCAGTTAATTAATGACCCTGAGTGTTTGTCCGTGCCGGGGTCTGAACCCGCTACCTCCCGCTCAGCGGCAAGGCCCGCACTCTCCCAACTGAGGTAACTAGGCGGCGGTTAAAGAATGCATTTTCGATCAAGTGTCTTTTTTTTCTAGAACGAATGTGTCAATAACCGTTGCGAAAACAATGCAACCTGCCAAACCGGTTTCACAGGCAAGGGATACCGCTGCTTGTGTACTGCTGGATTTGAAGGAAATTACTGTGAGATTGGTGAGTTTCTGGGGGAACACTGAACTGAGACTGTGATAACTTCACCTTAAGATCTTTACGATTACTGAATTAAAAACGCTCACTGTGCAGCTGTGTGTTGTGTAAATGACTAATGAAATGAACGTTAAGCTGGGCCTTACTCGGCCGCTTTTAACTTCGGCAATTTTTGACCTGTTCGGCAACACATTATGGCTTTTGTCTTTGGATCAACCTTTTCATTTTAGGCGCGAGACTCTTTATTAGACTAAAAGTTTGTAGTTCATTTAGTAGCAGGTTTTTGTCCTGTTTTGAAACTACAGAGTTGGATTTTCATTTTATTTCTCTCTGGGCGGGGTTCTTGAAGGCTTATCTTTTACGTGCTGCTTGCATTGTAGGTGCTGCGACTAAAACAGCGGTTTTTCAAGATTATTATTACATTGTTCCTTTTTTTGGTTTTGTTTTTCTTTCATTTGACGGCTTGTTCATTTTCCAGACGTAGATGAGTGCACCTTGGGTACACACAAGTGCGGTGCCAATACGATCTGCACAAATAACGAAGGATCTTACAACTGCACATGTAATCGCCCGGGATTATGGAGATGTAGAGAACTGTGAACCGGGTGAGTTCCGGAAAGTTTTATTTCGAGTTGATTATAATATTCAGTCTTTAACAAATGATGAATATTTTACTTCAAAAAAAACAAACAAACAAACAACAAAATGAGCAAAAGGATAACAACAACAATACAAATAACAACAGCAACAATGAAGCACTTATTCATGAGAGACAAGTTGGGTAATGGGATTAAATTGCTGAAGGTTTTAAAATCCTCCGACATGGATAAACGAAATTCCAAACAAAGGTTTCTCTTCTACAAACTCGTATCCTAAAATAGTATTGAGCTTTAAGTCGCAAAGACCCAGTAATCTGGAAACCCAAAATTACCGCGTACAAATTAAATCAGTCTAAAAGCAAAGTCGATATTACGCTAATATGACCTCGAGAAACTGGGATGACTTCTTGTAGGTCCTTTTTCTTTTTCTAAAGTTGCAATAAATTTTAGCAAATAATAGATAAAATTCACCCTGAAAGAGATACATGATTTTATGATTAATCCATGTATTAGTGACTGACGGGGTTATCAGCAATCTCGTTCCCAGGGTTCTCTCCTACCCGCCCTCCGTAGGGCGGGTAGGAGAGAACCCTGGGAACGAGGTTGGGTTATCAGCTGTCTGTGACTGGGTGTTCCTGCTACCCGGCTATTGTCATGTGAATTCTTGAGACATGAAAACGAGGCACTTACCCTCTCTGCTCACCGCTGTAACAAAAAAGTTGTTAAACCGCCACCTATGCGGCCATGTTCATCCCAAAATGAAACTGTCGTTATTTGGTATTCCAAAAAGAAGATCTCAGCCAAAGCGAGACTCTGCAATTTTAAAAGCAATAATTGACTTGATTATTATTATGTAAAGGAACACGAGGCATAAAAGTTCTTTTTGTTTTGTTTTTGCGTGTGCCGGTGTACATTTCTGACGCAGTTTTATCGTGCAAGGACGTGTTTGACAAGAATATGTAAGTAGCAAAATGATGTTAGTACCCTTTAATTAGAACACCTATCTTGGTCCATAGATACAAATTTTCATACAATTCCGTCCTGTGTATGTTCACCTCTGTTTAGGTCTTTAGTTGTTCTACTGGGGCTGTTTACATAGAGAGAGTAAGATTCTAGAGGGAGGATTATCCTAGTGCCACAATATTTCCCATATTCAGATTAAACTTGTCCCAATCGCTAGGAATTTCCTAGCTAGTGGTAGAGATATCCTGGTCCTAATAATACCTTAGCGCCATGTAAACTACTTTCGCTAGGAAGATCCTAGATCCATGAGCACTACAGAAAATCCAGACAAAAAAATTCTGCGTGTCGTTCAGCGGGTAATCAAGATGCTCAAACAAAACGAAGAGCTGTTCCGCCCTCTACTGACAGAAATTCTTTCTGGTGCTAGGATCTTTATTCCTCCCCATATAACAGCTCCTAATTATGCCATTAACTTGCATTTAAACAAACCTTGGTGTTTGATATATTTTCAAACGAAAAGCGCTCACGATGCTCCCTATTTGACAGCCGATTACAATATGATTGTTTACTTAGCACAGTGCAATCGGGACCATAGTAACGACAGATTTCCGTTTCTTTACTCGATTTTCTAACTAGTATCTTGATCACCTCTTTGTCATTTCTAACCTAGAGCAAGAATCCCATTGGCCTGTATTTCTGGAAATAACTCAGACATTCTCCTGTAACATAGAGTTCTCGATCGTATCAGTATAAAAGCAGCGGAAAGCAAACTTACCTTGTCATTCCTACATCGACTGTCCACAGGTTTTTTAATGGTCATTCAGAATATCTTTATCAGGCTTCAGATTGCATACATTCGGGTTTTCTAGTTTTGACATTCATTTGCAATTCAGATCTGGATACCGGGTGAACTGTTGAAGTCGCGGTAATTTGCATGCGTCTGGTTGCATTTTTCTTGTAAACAAACTTGTTAGTCAACAGTCTCATTCGCATTTGCCTCTTTTTTAAGATCCAGTAAAAACGAAGCGTACCCACTACTTATTGAGAATGAGGTTATTGACGTTTACTGTCACATGACCACGGCCACGATTTCAAATGGAGAATGCGGTGATGGTGGATGGACGCTGGTCATGAAGATTGATGGCAATCAGGTAAAACTGAAGATGAATAAATGAATGAATAAATGAATAATGAAAGGATGATCCACACTTACAAGTACATATTACATTCCCCAGTTTACTCTTGTATCAGTTAGTAGTTATATTACAAATTTACCCCTCTCCCCTTAAATGGGAACAGGGAAAATTGGCGAAAGCCTGTCGAGGGTGACCCAACAGCCACTGGGTTAACTTTGAAGGAACAGCAGTAGCAGGACGCCCCTCGAGGGTCTTTTGATATTTCCCCAAAACTATTTTCCGTGCGCCAGTTCAGTTGATTCCCTGTTACTCGAACGTCGTGCTAACTCGATAGAACCAAAGTTGATTTCCCCTGGATTTCCTTCATACGTGTGCTATATTTTTTATCCTTGATAACTCGAACCTCCCGGCCCGCTAATTCGAAGTAATTTTTGTTTCCCTTCAGATCATTTCCATATAATTTTACCCTCGATATCTCGAACCATGTTTTAAGCCTGTGAAATCAGAAAAAGAAAATTTTAACAGGGTACTGAAGTCCGAAACACTCTATTCATTAAATCAACCGTATCAATTCTTTAATTGTTTTTACTCTTTTGTCACTCCAGTTCAAATTCAGTGTCTGTAGGCCACTTTCACATTTCCCATAATGCACCTTATTTGCCCCCCTAAAATTTTGCATAAGCATATTGTTTTCAATTTCTCTTGGGATGGCTGTAATACCCAGGAGAAATGAAAAACAACTTTAGGTTGTGCAAAATTTTTAGGGCAAATAGGTGCATTATGGGAAATGTGGAATTATATTAATCAAGCTTTGTTGCTTAATTCTTCAAAATACCAATCTTAATCCCTCGCTGCCCTTGACTGAGTGAAATGTGCCTGATTCTTGCATTCTCTCCTCATCTATTTGCTTATATTATTTTCGGTTATTCGCCTCAAACTCCCGGTAACTCGAACTTTTTTCGATTACCCTAAAAGGTTCGAGTTGTTCATCGGGAGTCGACTGTAGCAGAGTGATTTTTACCAATTTAAATTCCCACAGGAGAACAGGGGAAGGGATTGGCCACTGCCACTGGTAAAGTTGCAGCCACTAAGCTAATTTGAAATGGACAGTATAGCCGCAGCAGCAACACTTTTTGCTTTTTGTTGTTGTGAATAATTTTTGACTGTCAGGACGAGATATGATAACAATGACTCTTCGACCACTTCAGTCTGAGAGATACATAATTAAGGCAGATATTGAAGGATAGATATCAATTCAGGACAATGAACATTAGTATACAAGGATTGTCAGGCTCTAGGGGTTTGACCAGCAGAATGAATATGGGAGATTATATGGTCCTTTTGAGCTTCTGATTTATGAAATTAAATTTCCTGATTGCATAAAAGAATACAGAGATTACCTTGCTTTAATTTTTAACTGTTTTTCACAAAGCAAACGTTCCACTACACCTCTGCATACTGGCAAGATAAAAACCGCTTTAATGTTGATGGACGCAAGACTGGATTTGACTCACAGGAGACCAAACTTCCCTCCTACTGGAACACATCCTTCACGAAGATCTGCCTCGGGATGAAGATCAACAACCAGATCAATTTTATCGAAATCTCTAAGAGCGCCAGTTCCCTGTATTCACTGATGGCTGATGGGCAATACCGCAGCACCTCACTGGGTCGTGACAAGTGGAAGTCCGTGGTTGGTCCTGATGCTTCCTTACAGTTAAACTGCAACATGGAAGGGTTCAATGCAGAGTGTACCATGACAGGACGATCTAAAGCAAGAATCGGTATCCTTGGTAACGAGGATGCGGATGGGTGCCACTCCTGTAATTCTAGAATCGGATTTGGCACAGGAGGAGATCATGATGACTCTAACACATGTGGAAACGACGCTAGATTTGGCGGAGATAATGGAGATCAGCGTATTAAAGCCATGGGATACATTTTGGTACAGTGAAAGAGAACTACTTTTAATATACACTATATCTTTGTGCAGGGGGCAAAAAAATTAATCGGTACGTCAGCTTTGAGCTGTTTGGCCACCAGCAGTACTGGCCTGAAATGTGAAAAAATGGTTCTATTTTGCGCAGTCTATTAAAAGATATGCAGTTCACCGTCCACGAAAGATAGCCCCAGCAGATACTTTCTTATGAATGTCAAAACAGTTTTGTTCATATTCCATCCCACTTTGTCCGCTGGGCAAGGCCTGTAGTTGAAACTGAGGTTATCAATAAGATAGAAACTACGTGATGCCAGCATATACCTGTTCAGCTTTTCAGGGCGCAAACAACTGATAAAATAAGCCAATACAAGAAGTTTGTTTATTCTAGAGAGTAGAAAAAAAATTTAATCTTAAAGACGGTATTGGAAAATTGTGGTTGGAAGCGGAGATCATTGTTACTTTCTTGGAAAATGTAAAAACGATCGTAGTTGGTTTCCTCATAGCAAGCTGCAATAACGACGAAACTAACTTAACGAGACTCGATCTCAGCTGCGATCTGTACATTTCGAAACTAAATCATCCTTGTTTAATTTTGAAGGAATAAATAAACTCGACTGCGACAACTCTAGCGGGGGAATAGCAGGCCAACACAGGGGTATTTCTGGTCTTCGCTTTTCTCCAGCCGAAAAGTAAAGTTACTTTTCAGGTGGAGAGAAACGACGACCGGAAATACGTCTGCATGCATTGGCAAATTTTATCATCTGTTTGCCCCCTGAGAAACCACGTGCGTTTAGGTCCGTTTTCAACAAACAACTATCCAAACCCTTCACCATCCCCACGGCCCACACGCTCGCGTACACGATTATATTTAGCTGAACGACTGTGTTTCAAATTAAGTTCCCTGCTTCGTTGTCTTTTATGTTTTTCTTTGAGTTTGAACATTATTTGTTAAGTACTAGGGAGATTTTTGCTATACATGGGTTAGATAGATATGTGCCGCCCGATAGTGGGGCTATGGAGGGTCTCTATCATAAAAATAGGGTATCATTTTTGCCCTTGTTGGCGCGCGTTGTTTTCTTGGTGTGATCCTTAGACAGGGTACCATTTCTATATCAGCTAAGAATTCAAGTGCGTAAATGCTCGGCTACACTAGAAACAAATCATCTGTTAAAAGTGGACTTTACGTTAGAGCATTATGAAAGCAATTAAAAGAAGATTTTTGTGTCTCCACTGAATTCTTAGTTTTTATTTTTCCCTTGAATCGGGTCTCATTTTTCAGGTTTGGGCCTTAAATACGGTTAGGGTATCAGTTTTCGTTTGCCTCATTCTTAAATAGGGTCAGGTTTAAATACTCTGTTTGGCCCACTTATCTGACTTTTATGGGTATACCCCCCCGGGGCAGACTAAATATCTAACAAAACAGATGTTCATCGTTTCATATCCTAACGGCAGGGGTCTCGAGGTAATATCTATTCATCGCCAAACAGTCTAGTATACTTGAGCACGTCCCTTCTATTTGCCTCGGTGTCACATCGCTACCAATTTTATTTTTTTTGCTTTTCGCGTCTGATGTGTGCGTCTATAGGGAAAAACTCTGTAAAGTATAAGCTTTACTATATTATTTCGCACTATCCAGTACCAGAAATGATCACAGGCAAAGGCGAGGTGATAGAAAGTGCTAGCCAAGGTTACTTCGCCTCACGCATGGTGCCATGGCCTGTTCTAATTTAAGGACGATGATTACAGGTGTGAATAAGTAATGAATGCCATGAAACGCATTTGTAGCAAAACTGATTAAGCAGGTATAAGCCTTTTTATGACCAAACTTTATCTCTGGTAATATTTTTTTTCGTACATATATAGAAGGTAAGGGCAAAAATTTCTTAAAACGACGCGAGACAACTAATCGATACAGAATCAAGAGAGAATGCTGAGGTAGCTCATCCTCTCTTGTCAGTGTTAAATAATTAGTAGGACAGAGGTGAGCTGCATGTAAGGGACTGAATCATTTATTAAACGTTCCAAACTGCAAAAACCGCGATAAAGAGAGACTACAGCGTATTTGTTAACAAAACATAAAATAAATATGAAAGAATATTGTTAAAAGAGCTCGTGCATGTTAAGAAAAGTTATACAGTTGTTTTTGTGCACCCCAGAGTGATTTTCATACTAAAATAATGTATATTTTTCTTTATTAACCCTTAAAGCAATCTTTTTCGCCAACCAATGGAAAGTCTAAAATTAATATAAAGCTTTAAATATGCTACTTTATAGCCCAGATCCTAGTAGTCTATAAAAAGTAAACACTAATTATCGTCAATATTGGTTAAGTACTGGCCTCAGTCTTGGGTCCAATTCAGTATTGCAAATGCAGATATGTCTAGACAAGTTTGAATCTTATTATTAGTCGTATGGAACATAGAGCAAAGGTATCAGACGAAGCGTTGTTTTATGAGGTTTGGACGGAACTCATCAGTTTCGGAAAGTCAACTTGAAAGAAGAATTTGTTTTTTAAACAACACAATTTTTTGACTTGCTGTTCGTTAAATAATGCTGTTTAAACTTTTGTGGATGTTGTTGGAGTTTCTCTCGCAGATTCCTGCGCAGGCCTCAAATGAAGGTTAGTTTATTCGAGTTAAAAGTTGAGATAAAAGGAAAAGTTGAAGCAAAATAATGTAAATTAAGTTCACTCGCGTTCTTAGTCAAACAGATCTGTCCTTGAATTAAAAAATTCCATTGTTCGTAAAGCTCTTTAAGGCCTATAACTTTAACAAGCCACAAGTTGATTGCTTGGTTACGAAAAAAAAAAGATTTATAATACCTGAAAATTTTTCGTGGCCTTTATTTTTAGGTTTATCGCCCCTAGAATTGAAATGTTTTACTTCGCTTCAGTCGCGCATAATCAGTGGCAATCCGTAAATATGTAATTTTAGCACAAGGTGGTTTATCATGATACATTGCTATTGAAATATTCTTGCACGTACATTTATTAAGTATTTACTCGTAAAACTCACTAACGTTAAGGTTATTTGTAAGTCCTTTCAAATAAAAGAAGGATGGTGCTTTCTTTTTTTTTGTAATATTTTCGCGGGCGTTTTAGAGATACAGAAAAATTCCGAATTGAAAGTAAGCCCCCCGGGGCTTATATTTTTTCAAACGCAGGGGCTTATATTCGGAGGGGCCTATATACAGAAGGAAATTTCCGTTTCAAAATCCGCATTCAGCTAGGGCCTATATATGGAGGGAAATTTGCGTCTCAAAATCGATTGGTCTAGCTTATAGTTGGAAGGAAATTTATGTCAGTAATTTACCGAAAGGTGTTACTGAAACTCGCCTTGAGGACGCCTACGTCGACTCTAAAACGCAGCCATGCAAGTAGTTTGTCTATATAGACCAAGAAAATCCTGCATTAGCTAAGACTGAAGAGTGAACTACGCAAACAGGAATAAACTATGACCCTTCAGTTTCTGACTGCAATCATTTGGCACACGTAATATTTCGTTGGCAAATACATAAATTTATATGTCACTGTACCGTTTTTGCTCTGTTTATTCTGTGTTTCAGGGCAATTAATATTTCCAAGCACAAGATTCGGAGGGGCGATGTAACGGGGTTGTTTTGCGTTACGAGTTTGGGGGGCTTATATTTGGAAGGGCTTAATTTCGGAATTTTACGGTATTTAAGTTAAAAATGATATGTCGTCGCGACATCAGCAGATTCCCCTATGTGACGAAAAATACCGTGACCGTCAGTGAGTTGCCCTTGCCTGTTTTGATGAATTCTCTTTTGAGGAGAGGACACCAAACCTGCCTGCAAGGGATTGCAACTGAGCTAGTCTGGAAGGCCCTCCACAGTCAAAAGCCACACATGGTGGCCCCCCTCGGTATTTATCAACCCGCCTTTTTGTGACACCCTTTCACCGTAGACGGTATGTGGCGCTCAGATTTTGTCGGTTCTCGCCCATTGATCAAACAGATATCCTCCAAGTATATATTTTAATTGGGGTCACCTGCCTGAAGATCAGTTGACCTGGCACCCTCTGAAGGCTTTTTTTTTCAGCAGTTATTAAATTTATTTGAATGTTTACTTACCTCTCAGACTCATGTCGCAAGCTTGAGATGAAGGCCGGCCATACTTTTGAAGGTAAACGTCTTAAAGACCACATGATTCGCAGCCGTGACGCCATTGATGCCGATGACTGCGAACTACTTTGCTTCTGGGAACCAGACTGCGTTAGTTTCAACTTTAAGAAGTCTATGAGCCAATGTGAGCTAAATAACTCCACTTTCGAAGAACAACAGAATAAGCTGGAGACACACTATGATTACATTTACCGGGAAGCTGAGGCAAGTGTAGTCTTCCTTACAGCCATTTTTGTCTTGTTTCGTGATAATTCTCTGGAAAAACAGTCAGAAATCAAGTAACAAGTTTTGTTTAAAAGTATTACACCCGTGCACTATTTGCATCCTCGTTCCCTGGTCAGGAGAGAACCCTGGGAACGAGGTTGACACTATTTACAGGTAGTCATTACGACACCTGAATGAGGATATGAGGTTATCCTTATATTAAGATCTCTAATTACAGATAACCCACCCTGCAGCATAGGAAAGGTTGGCCACACCTCCCGGATCTACGCCCCCTTAGCCTGCGTGGCAGGCGCTCGAGAGGGGATTTCGGGCGCCCAAATTCCCTTTTCCTTGCCTTTCGATCCCGCGAACGCCCGCTACGCAGGCTAAACCGTTTGTTGATGTTATTGCAAAGGCAGCACTTTCTTCTAAGTTAGTTAATGACCCTGAGTGTTGGTCGTGCCGGGGTCTGAACACGTGACCTCCCGCTCAGCAGACTGGCGCTTTCCCAACTGAGGTTATCAGGCAGCTAAAGAATGCAGTTCTGATCAAGGGTCTCTTTTCCTAGAACGAATGTGTTAATAACCGTTGCGAAAACAATGCAACCTGTCAAACCGGTTTTACAGACAAGGGATACCGCTGTTTGTGTACTGCTGGATTTGAAGGAAATTACTGTGAGATTGGTGAGTTTCTGGGGGAACACCGAACTGAGGCTGATAAATGCAAATACCTTAAGATCTTTAAGATCAGTGACTGTTTCAAGTGTAAAAAACGTGCACTGCGCAGCTCTGTGTTATGTAAATGATTAATTAAATGAGCGGAAAACGAAGCCTTGCTCGGCCGCTTTTCGCAACTTTTGACCTTTTCGGTGTGACTTTTCGGCCTTTTGCTTTGGAGCAACTTTTTCATTTCAGAGGATCTTGATTAGACAAAACCGCTTTCCGTTTTTTTAGAATATTTCCTTTAGTAGCAAGTTTTTTTTCCCTTTTTAAAACTTCAGAGTTGGATTTTATTTCTTTGTCCGCGAGGGGCTAAAAAAGAAAATAACCGTGGTCGGTAGTCGTGCAAACCACGTTTCAATATGGTGGACGGGTGGTTCTTGAAAAGCTAATCTTCCTGCTTGCATTGTAGGTGCTGTGACTAAAGCAGCCGTCTTTTCAAGATCATTAGTGCATTTTTTCTTTCTTTGCCTGTTTTCCTTCGATTTGACGGCTCGTTCATTTTCCAGACGTAGATGAGTGCGCCTCTGGAACACACAAGTGCGGTGCCAATACGAACTGCACAAATAACAAAGGATCTTACAACTGCACATGTAACCCGGGATATTATGGAGATGCAGAGAACTGTGAACCGGGTGAGTTCCGCAAAGTTTTATTTCCAGTTATACGTTAATTATTCACTTAGGTTTCTTGGGTTTAACAAATGATGATTATTTTATTTTTTTAAAAAATAAGCACGACAAAACAGTAACAACTTACAACAGCACCAACAAAAATAAAAACAGCAACAACGAAACACTGTATTATCTCCAAGAGAGAAATAGGGTTATGGGAATGAATTCTGAAGGTTAATCCGACATGCATAAACGAAATTCCAAACAAAGTTTTCTCTTCTAAAAACTCGTATCTTAATTAAAATAGCTTTAAGTGGCAAAGACCCAGTAATTAAATCTGTAAACCCAAAATTGCGGTACAAGTCAGTCTATGATCAGAAAGCAAAGTCATGATCGTCGTTTTAACCTCAGCCGGTTTACGCTTTATAATCATCAGTGACCTCGAGAAACTGGATTACTTCTTGCAGTTTTTTTCTAAAGTTGCAATAAATTCTTGCAAATAATAAATGAAATTCATTCTGAAAAAAATAAATGGTTTTGTGATTAATTTATGTGACTGACGGAGTGATCAATGTTGCATTTCTCTCTTGTCACGTGTTTTCTTGATTCATGAAAACGAGGCACTTACCTTCTCTTCTCGTTGTGACAAGAAAGTACTGAGTTAAATAAACTGATACCATGTGGCCATATTCATCTCAAAATGGAATTGTCATTATTTGGTATCCCAGATCTCAGCCAAAGCGAGACTGCGTCACAAAAATTGATTTGATAATTATTATGGAAAGAAACACGACGCATAAAAGCTCTTCTTGTTTTCTTTTTGCGTGTTTTCTGATGCAGTTTTATCGTCGTGCAAGGACGTTTTTGACAAGAATATGTAAGTAGTAAAATGATGTTAGTACCCTTTAATTAGAGCACCTCAGGCTAATACTTACATTTCAGTTGGTTAGTGATACGTACAAATCTTCATACAATTCCGTGCTCTGTATGTTCACCTCTGTTTACTTGGTTTTTAGGTGTTCTAAGGCGCCATTTACATGGAGAGAGGAAGATCCTATCAGAGGACTATCCTAGCTCCTTAATATTTCCTGTATTCAGTTTAAATGTCATAGTTTATACTTGTCCCAGTATCGCTAGGATCTTCCTGGCTAGAGGTAGGAAGATCCTAACACGATTCGAGGAAGATCTGAGCTCCAGGTAAACTACTTTTGTTCGGAACATCCTAAGTACTAGGGACAAACGAGACCAAAAAAAAATTGCGGCGTGTCGTTCATTGGGTAATTAAGGCAATAAAGGCCAAAACAAAATTTCTGCGCGTAAGCCCAACGAAAAGTTGTCTCGCCTTCGACTGAGGATCTTTCTAGTGCTAGCATCTTTACTCCTCCGTCCATGTAACGGCTCCTAATTGTACAAGTCCTTTAATTTGCATTAAAACGAACATGGGGGGGGTCAATCGAAAAGCGCTTACGATGCTCCATATTAACAGCCGATCGATAACACTGTGATTGCTAGCATAGTGTAATCACTTTGCAAGTTGTGGGACCGTAGTAACAAATTTCCGTTTCTTTACTCGATTTTTCAACTATCTTGTATCACCTTTTTACGATTCATTTCTAACATAAACAAAGAATGCATTAGCATGTATTGCTGAAAATAACTCATTCTCCTGTAAAACGGAGTTCTCGTATCACTAAAATCAGAACACAACCTTATCGTGCCATTCCAACATCGACTGTCCGAACTTTTTGTATAGTCATTCAGAATATCCATATCAGGCTTCGACGCATTGCATTCCGGTTTGTCGGTTTTGACGGTTGCAATTCAAGTTTGGTTACGGTGTGAACTGTTTAAGTCGAGTAATTTATTTGCATACGTCTTGTTGCATTTTTTTTGTAAACAAAATTGTTAGTCAACAGTCTCTTTCGCATTTGCTTCTTTTTAAGATCTACTGAAAACAAAGCGTACCCACTACTTATGGCAAATGAGGTTATTGACGTTTACTGTCACATGACCACGGCCACGATTTCAAATGGAGAATGCGGTGATGGTGGATGGACGCTGGTCATGAAGATTGATGGCAATCAGGTAAAGCTGAAGATGAATGAATGAATGAATGAGATAAGATAACAAACTGATTACCTTCCCCGGTTTACTTTTAATTTTAGACACGGCTCGTATATGTATGTTCTACCTTTGAGTCAGCCTCTCGTATTAGAAGCTATTTTACCCCCCGCCCCCCTCAAATGGGAACAGGAAAAACTGGCCAAAGTTAAGTTGTGACCCAACAGCCACTACGTTAATTTTTAACGGAAACCAGTAGCAGGAAGTCCCTCGAAGGTCTGTTGATATTTTTCAGAAACCATTTTCCGTGTCAGTACAGTTGAATCCCGATAACTCGAACCCTCGCTAACTCGAACCAAAGTCGACTGATTACCCCTGGATTTCCTACATACATGTTTTGAATTTTAACCCTGACTGACTCGAACCTCAATTCCGGTAACTCGAGGTAATTTTTGTTGCAGATAATTTCCATATAATTTTACCCTCCATAACTCGAACCATGTTTTAAGCGTGTGACGATTCAGAAAAATAAAAACAGCGTATTGAAGTCGGAAACATATGAATTTTTATTATATAGATACTGATGAAATATCACGATTTTTCCTTTTACTAAAAAATCATATCTTCATCGCTTGAAGTGAAGATACTATTTTTATCTTTCACATGTGAAGATATTGGTGTCGCCATGGTTACTAACATGATTAGCCAAACTTTTGCTCCTCTTTATTAGAATTTTCACTTTTTGGAACAGAAAATATAAGTATTATTGTCTTTTTTTATCCTTTATAATTTTATATCCGAGTTTCGTAACATTTTTGTGACAGGCATTTTGCGATGGGTGACCACTTTAATGGCTTTTTTTTGCTGTTTCGAAACTGAATAAAAAAAAAGTTGTGTTTTATGTAGGAATTTCATTAGTATCTATAAAATAAACAGAACATCACATGGCCGCTTGGGGATACGAATATTATCTTCTCGTGCTGAAAGTATCTCTCACTCGTTCGCCTCGCTCACTCGTGAGAGATACTTTCAGTTCGAGAAGACAAAATTCGTATCCCCAAGCGGCCATGTAATATTCTCTATATTTCAAATCAACAGTGTCAATTCGCTTATTGTCTTTAATTACTTTTTTGTCACTCCAGTTCAAAATCAGCGTCCCTTCCCTTTTTTAAAGTACCAATCTTAATCTCTTGTTGCCCTTGAAGTGATCATGAAATGCACCTGGTTCTTGCATTCCCTTCTCATCTATTCGCTAATTTCCTCATTTTCGGTTATTTGCTTAAAACTCCCTATAACTCGCGATCGAATTAACTTTTTTTGATTACCCTTGAAGGTTCGAGTTATCGGGAGTGGTTGTTATTTATTTACGAATTAAAATCCTCCCACGAGAACAGGGGAAATTCACCACTGCCAGTGGTGAACTTGCAGCCACTAAGCTAATTTGAAAGGGAGGAATTCCCTCTAGGGCCTTTTAATATTTTCCCGCTTGTACACTTTTGACTGTTGTTGCGAATAATTTTAGATTGTCAGGCCGAGTCATGATTACAATGACTCTCTGACCGCCTCAGTCTGAGAGATACGGTAACGGGTTGACTCGCAAAATGAGTATGAGAAATTATAGGGTCCTTTTAAGATTCTGATTTATGAAAAGAATTTCTTGAAATAAATAAATGAAGGGATAAAGAAATTACATTGATTTAATTTGTAACTAATGTTCTTCCCAAAGCAAACGTTCCACTACGCTTCTGAATACTGGCAAGATAAAAACACCTTTAATGTCGTTGGAGGAAAGACTGGTTTTGACTCACAGGAGACCAAACTTCCATCCTACTGGAACACATCCTTCACTAAGATCTGCCTCGGTATGAAGATCAACGACCAGATCAATTTTATTGTCATCAACCAGGGTGCCAGTTCCCTGTATTCACTGATCGCTGACGGGCAATACAGGAACACCTCTCTCGGTCGCGAAGCTTGGATGTCACTAGCAGGCTCGGAAGCCTCCTTGCAGTTAAACTGTAAAAAGGAAGGGTTCAACGCAGCTTGTATCGCAAGTGACCGCTCCAAAGCAAGAATCGGCATCCTTGGTAACGATAAAACCAATTGCAATAATTGTAACTCCAGATTGGGTTTTGGTAGTTCGGGAAACTTTGATAACGATAATACATGTGGAAACTTGGACAACCATGGGGGTAAAAGACTGAGCATCAGGGCAATGGGGTATATCCTGGTACAGTAAAAAGAATGCAACAGTTAAACAAGTGATCATAATTAAAGTCGCTTATAATAATGGACGTGGACGTGTTTTCCATTGTGACTGCTTTCATAGCGCACGTTTCACTTCGATTACAGTCTCTGGAGAAGCATCAACGAAACCTTTAACCTTGACGGAGAAAAGACGGGGTTGACTCGCAGGAGAACAAACTTACCTCCTACTGGGACACATCCTTCACCAAGATCCGCCCCGGTTAAAAGATCAAAAACCAGATCAATTTTATTGAAATCACCGAGAGCGCCAGTTCCCTGTATTTACTGATCACTGATGGCAGCAATACCGCAGCACTTTACTGGGTCTTGACAAGTGGAAGACCGTAGTTGGTCCTGATGCCTGCTTGCAGCTCAACTGTAACAAGGAAGGTTTCAACGAAGAGTGTACCATGAGTGACAGCTCCAAAGCAAGAATCGGTATCCTTGGTAACGAGGACGGAGATCGGGTTTGGCACTGGAGGGGATTTATGACGGCTCTAATACTAGTGGAAACATCGCTAAATTAGATGCGGATAATGGCATCAACTCATTAACGCCATGAGATACATTTGGTAGAGTGAGAGACATCCAGCCAAGAGTTACTTGATCATACTGTGCAGGGGAAGGGGACAGGGGTGGGGTCTGGGGATGGAGGGAGGGGGGAAGTTACGTCAGCTTTGAGCTGTTAGTCCATTAATGGCTTGAAACTATATGTGAAAACATAGTTCTTTATATGTATTCGTTTTTTTGGAAAAAACATTTCGCCAAATAGGCCTCTTGCGTCAAACAAACTTTTTCGGCCAAAAATATCTCTAAAGAGGCCAATATAAATAATAAGCGATGCAACCTTTGCTTTTTTCTCTTCTCGTTTTTTCACCATCGCTCTCTCTTTTGCTCATTTCCGTTTTCCTCGTTGGCGTGATTTTGGAGCTTATCGGACGCAAAAAATCTGCCTTTGGGCCGTTTTTCACTCAAATGTCTGCAAATTTCGTCAGGTTCGTTTTCAAAACTCCTTACTCTTCTAAGAGATGCGCAAAACTGTTTTTCACTTCGCCTCATGTACACTACAGGTAACAGTAGACGAAAGATAGTCTCATCATCAGTTACTTTCTTATTGTCAAAATATGCTTGTTAATTTTCCATCCCACTTCACTGGACATGGATTAACCCTTGGACGTACGGACGAAGGGGAGACTCCCCTAAGGTTTTTCTGGGTTTTTTCCTAGAGGATAAAACATTCAGCACCTGATGTTTTCAGTAGCTGTTCGTTCATCCTTCGCGCGCATTTTGAGTCAAGTTCAGTGATGGTCAGTTTCTGTGGTTACGAGATATGACACCATAAGAAGCAGGTGGTTAATCTGTTTTTGAGTGAAAGTACGTGTTTTTTCAACAATAAAAGTGAATCTTGTGGCTAAAATCATGCAAAGTGCGTATTCCACTAAGAAGGTAAAATCGTTTCGAAATACTGCAACATATAATCCCCCCCCTTGCCCCACGGTGGGGGTATAAATTTGCGTGGTTTAAAACTTGAAACATTTTGGCCTACTTTTTCAAGCTATAATGCTATACCTGCAAACCAATATCAGCATTGAAAAAATATTATAGTTAGTGAAGAAATTTTTTTAAAATCTTGTTCATAACTCTACAGGAGCGCATTTTGTGTACTGTCAGAGTACTAAGTAAGGACTTCTTCAACACAGAGTTGGCCTAAAACAGCAATATCATCCACGTGATAGCCCCTTTAAGCACCAAACACCGTGAGCCCCATGTTTCTGTGCTCCGTCATCTTAACCTCGGTGAATCCTAGCCTGTTCAGATAGTGGAGAGCGGTGCGAAGTAAAGAAAGCGATTTTTTCGCGCTCCTTTTTACTTCGCACCGCTCCCCACTATCTGAACGCCTGGAACAGGCTAGGTGAATCCCAAGTGCTTGAACAAAGCTTATAACGATGAAATTCACAGCTTGTCATAAATGTCATGGGGATTGAACATTTAAAGTAAGCAAAAATGATTGCAAGGTGTCATGATTGTTGATAAATAGGATTCTTTTAGAACAATAATTTTTTACTCAAAGAAATTTGCAAATTGATTAGAAGAAAATTTACAGAGTTCATTCAAGTATTGAGATACATGAAGCTTTATTTGCACACATACCAAGCACTGTTATAGTTAATCTGTTGATCTTTATTTTCTTGCTTTGTAGCAAACATTTCACTTCAATTCAGACCTCTGGAGTAAGAATAAAAGCTTTAATCTCGACGGAGGGAAGACCGGATTTGACTCACATGAAGCCAAACTTCCCACCTACTGGAATACATCCTTCTCTAAGATCTGCCTTGGTATGAAGATCGGCCAGCAGATCAAGTTTATTGTCATCAACAAGCAGGCGAATTCATTGCACTCTCTAATTGCTGACGGAGTATACCGCGCTACCTCATTGGGTCGTGACACGTGGAAGTCACTGATTGGTTCTCAGGGCTCCTTACAGCGCTATTGTAACAAGGAGGGGTTCAACGTAGAGGGTAATATTGCAAATTCCAAAGCAAGAATTGGTATCATCGGTAATGAACAAAGCAACTGTGGTTCACCAGATTCTAGAATCGGGTTCGGTACCGGAGGATATCCCGAGACCAGGAACACGTGTGGAAATGAGGCTAAACATGGAGGAGATAACGGCAACAAACAGATAAGGGCCATGGGGTACATTTTAGTGCAGTGAAAAGCACTCGACTCATCTACCTTCGCTTTACTGAAATTTGTTGTCTTTTAGAACTTGATATGTCGAAGCTCCTTTTATCAACATCTGCGTGAGTTATTATCACTCATGGACAAAACTTTGATTGAAATTCCATTCGGCGTATAGTAGTAGCACTCTGACTATAACATTAAGGATACTTAAAACATGAAATCCAACAACTGATGTCAACGCCAAGAAATCCGTTCCTAAATTTCCTGTCCTTCGTTTCTTTTCTTCTTTTTTGGGGGGTGGGGAGGGGGGATTGGTTGATGTATAGGCGAGAAGGAAATCCGAAGAGGGATTTTAAAAAGGGTTGTTATAAACAGCGGTCCTGCACGCGCACTCATAATGAACAGGGTATCAGTTTTCGTTCGTCTCATCCTTAATTAGGGTCAGGTTTTTAGACACTGGACGGCCAACCTATCCGAAATTTATCGGAATACCCCCTGGGGCAGACTACAAGTCTAACAAAATAGATGTTCATTGTTTCGTATCAAGGTAAGGGGTCTCAAGGTATTATATCTATTCATCAGCGAACAATCTAGTACGGCTCTGCGCACGTACTCTTCTATCGCAAAGGTACTTTGGCCTCGGTGACACAGCGGTACTAATTTCTTTGATTTTTCTGTTTTTCGCCTATGTTGATGTGTGCGTCTACAGAGAATAACTCTGTAAAGTAAGAGCTTTACTGTATTAAATCGCACTATCCGGCACTAGAAATGATCTCAAGGAAAACGCGAGGAGGTAGAAATCTAGAAATTGTTAGGTTATTTCGCCCCACGTACGCATGGTGGCCTGGTCTAATTTAAGGACGGTGATTACAGGTGTGAATAAAGTATAATGAATGCCGTGAAACGCATTTGTAGCAAAACTGATTAAGCAGATATAAGCGTTTTTATGACTAAACTTTATTTTACTTTATTTTTCCCCTGTACATGTATAGATGGTATATAAGGTTAAAAATTCCCAAAACGACGCGAGACAACTAATATAATATATAAAGAATCAAGAGAGAATGAGCTCATTCTCTTTTGTCAGAATGCATAAAAACAATTAGTAGGACAGAGGTGAGCTGCATGTTATGTTATTAAGGGACTGGGTCGTTAAACGTTCCAAACTGCAAAAAATCCGAAAAACAGAGACTACAGCGTATTTACCTCATTAACAAAATAAAAAAATAAAATTTGAAAGAATATTGTTAAAAGAGCTCGTGTTAGTGAAGTTATACTGTTGTTTTTGTGCACCCCAGAGTGATTTACATAGAACTTTATTTTTTCTTTTATTACCCCTTAAAGCAATCTTTTTTCGCCAACCAATAGAAAGTCTAAAATTAAAGTTTTACATATGCTACTCTATAATAATCCAGATTCTAGTAAGCTATAGGAAGTAAACACTAATTATGGTCAATATTGGTTAAGTTACTGGCAATTATTCTTGCGTTCAATTACAGATGCAAATATCTCCAGATAAGTTTGAATCTTATGGACATATAGTACATAGAGCACCGCTATCAGACGAAGCATTGTTTTTTGCCGTTTGGACGGACACCTTTTCGGAAAGTCAACTTGAAAGAAGACTTTGTTTTTTAAACAAAATAATTTATTGACCTGCGGTTCTTAAAATAATGCTGTTTAAAATTTTGTGGATGTTGTTGGAGTGTCTGTCCTGGATTACTGCGCAGGCCTCAAATAAAGGTTAGTTTATTCAAGTAGGAAGTTAAGTTAAAATTAAGGAAAAGTTGAAACCAAAGAAAATATAAATTAATAAGTTCACTCGCGTTCTCAGTCAAACGGATTTGTTTTTTAAAATTCTCGGCTATAGTTCATAAACAAGGTCCATACCTTAAGAGCCACAAGTTAATTGCTTGGTTCTAAAAGAAATATTGATGTATAATACATAAAAAATTCTGTGGCTTTTATTTCTAGGTTTAACCCAGAAATGTTTTACTTCACTTAATCGTGCAGTAATCATTGGAAATCTGTAAATATTTAATTTAGCACAGAGTGGTTTATCATGTCACCTTACCAAATATTCTCGTACATTTATTAAGTATTTAGTCGTAAAACCAACTAACGTCAAAATTGAAAGTATTTTGGATGAAGATGGATGGTGCTTTCTTTTTTTAATATTTTCGCTCGTTTTAAAGATATTTAAGTTAAAAGAGATGACATTAGAAATGCTGTCGCGCGCTTTGCGACATCTGTAGATTCCCCTGTGTGATCTGGTGACGTAATAGTGATTTACCCTGGCCTATGATGATTACAAGAACGCTCTTAGTAGCGTTGAGTCTCGCTTGCTTGGAGATAACTTTTTTGACAGCTGGTGCTGTTATGCTACTTTTTCGTTTGGAATACAAAACGAGTGTTATATGTCATAATGTAAATACTCAAAGCGTAAAAATTGCAAGAAGAGACAGGCCACACATCTCAGCTGTGAAGCTGTGAGGAGAACTCCTTCAGGGATTTTCAGTACACTCAATAATATTGAACGATGACCTTTATTAGCATAAATGAAATTATATGTCTTCTTTGTAGCGGACAAGATACGGCTTGGTACAGTTTTTGTTCAGCACAAGAAAAATGTACGAGTTTAGCAGAACTTTACGCTACACAACAGACAGTTCAAGTGGCATCCCCTGTGTCTTTTAACTGGTTTTCATTCTTTTTTAAAAACCAACACTTTCAAAATTCAATTCGGTTAGGAATGGTAAAGAACAACCACTCTGTAGATGTGCTACCTTTCAATCATTATTTTATCAGTTTAAAAAATATATTTGTACGGTTACTTACCTCCCAGACTCATGTCGTAAGCTTGAGATGAAGGTGGACCATATTTTTGAAGGAAAACGTCTTAAAGACCACGTGATTCGCAGCGTTGACGCCATTGATGCCGATGGCTGCGAGATGCTTTGTTTCTGGGAACCAGACTGCGTTAGTTTCAACTTTAAGAAGTCTATGAGCCAATGTGAGCTGAATAACTCCACTTTCGAAGAACAAGAAGATAAGCTGGAGACAAACTATGATTACATTTATCGAGGAGCCGAGGTAAGAAAGGAACTTCAGTTTGACTTAAATCATGAATTAAGTACGGCGTTAAATATTTAAGGCAAATTAAAAGGGCTAGACTATATAAATTATACACGATGGCCTTTGTACCTAGCAACGAACGATGCCTTCTTTTACTAGAACTAACCGGAAAAGATTATTGAAAATTTGAACTGCGGGATGAAGATCATCGAAAAAGACGCAACATTGTAATTTGTGATCCACGATTCTAAGTAAAACAGTTAAAACAAAGCTAGAGACTTTTCAGGTACCTTAAAGTAAATTAAAATTTAAAGGCACAAAATGAGGATATGAGGGTATCCCTATATAAAGATCTCTGATTGCAGATACAGCAGCGGGGTCTATGCCCCTTTAACCTGAGTGGCAGGGACATTCAGTAGCAGGCGTCCGAAGGGATCGAAGGAGTGGGGATTTCGAGCCCCCAAATTCCCCTTTCGTTCTCTTTCTTAAACTGTTTGTAGATATCATAGCAAAGGCAGCACTTTCCTCTCAGTTATTTAATGACCCTGAGTGGTTGTCCGTGCTGGGCTCTGAACACGCGACCTCCCGTTCAGCAGCCGGGCCCGCGCTCTCCCAATGGAGGTAACCAGGTGGCGGTTAAAGAATGCATTTTCGATCACTTGTCTTTTTTTTTCCAGAACGAATGTGTCAATAACCGTTGCGAAAATAATGCAACCTGTCAAACCGGTTTTACAGACAAGGGATACCGCTGCTTGTGTACTGCTGGATTTGAAGGAAATTACTGTGAGATTTGTGAGTTTCTAGGGGAACACTGAAACGAGACTGTGATAACTACACCTTAAGATCTTTACGATTACTGAATGTTTCAGGCGTTAAAAACTCACACTGCGCAGCCGTGTGTTATGTAAATGCTTAATTAAATGAACGTTAAGCTAGGCCTTGCTCGGCCGCTGTCAACTTTTTTGCAATTTTTGACCTGTTCGGCAACACTTCGTGGCTCAGTCTTTGGATCAACCTTTTCATTTTAGGCGCCAGGATCTTTATTAGATTAAAAGTTTGTATTTCATTTCGTAGCAAGTTTTTGTCCTTTTTGAAACTACAGAGTTGCATTTTGATTTTATTTCTCTCTTTAGGTGTGGTTCTTAAAGGCTTACCTTTTACCTGCTGCTTGTATTGTAGGTGCCGTGACTAAAGCAGCGGTTTTTTCAAGATTATTAGTACACTTTTCCTTTTTTTGTTTTTTGTTTTTCTTTCATTTGACGGCTTGTTCATTTTCTAGACGTAGATGAGTGCGCCTCGGGAACACACAAGTGCGGTGCCAATACGATCTGCACAAATAACAAAGGATCTTACAACTGCACATGTAATCGCCTGGGATATTATGGAGATGCAGAGAACTGTGAACCGGGTGAGTTCTGCAAAGTGTTATCTCGAGTTAATTATAATATTCACAGTCTTGACTTTAACAAATGATTATTTTATTTCCAAAAAAGAAAACAAAAAACACACAACAAAACGATAACAACAACTGACAATACAAATAACAACAGCAACAACGAAGAACTTATTCATGAGAGACAAGTTGGGTAAGGGGAATAAATTCTGAAGGTTTTAAAATCTTCCGACATGGATAAACGAAATTCCAAACAAAGTTTTCTCTTCTACAAACTCGTATCTTACTCGTATCTCAAAACAGTATTGAGCTTTAAGTCGCAAAGACCCAGTAATCTGTAAACCCAAAATTACCGGGTACAAATCAGATGCAAAGTCGATATTACACTAATATGACCTCGAGAAACAGGGATGACTTCTTGAGGTTCCTTTTTTTTTCTAAAGTTGCAATAAATTTTAGCAAATAATTGATAAAATTCACCCTTAAAGAAATATATGGTTTTATGATTAGTCCATGTAATGTGACTGACGGAGTGATCACCCTGAAAGAAATACTATGGGGTGTTCCTGCCATCCGAGCTATTTTCATGTACAAACATGAACCACAAAGGACTGCAAAGGACCGCAAACAAATATGCTGAAGAACGTAGGATCTATAATTAAAAGACCTGATCAGCAAAAATGAAAAGTAGACATATTAAATTCTGCAAGCACTATACTGCAATGCTGATCGTAATACGTGAAAGTTAACTCTGCAAGACATTCAGCACGACACCGAAAGAACTCAAAACAGAGCGGGATTGTAGCCATAGAAAGCTGTTTCGCTCTCTTTGGGCTGCCAAAGAAGGCGAAACAGCCTCTCTGCTGACCGCTGTGACAAAAAAGTTGTTAAACGGCTACCCAAGGGGCCACTATTCGGTATCCCAAAAAGCAGATCTCAGCTAAAGCGAGACTCCCAACATTAACAACGATAATTGACTTGATAATAATAATGTAAAGGAACACGAATTAGCATAAAAGTTATTTTTGTTTATTTGTTTTTGCGTGTGCCGGTGTACATTTCTGACGCAGTTTTATCGTGCAAGGACGTGTTTGACAAGAATATGTAAGTAGCAAAATGATGTTAGAACCCTTTAATTAGAACACCTCTCTTGGTCCATAGATACAAATCTTCATAGAATTACGTCCTCTGTATGATCACCTCTGTTTTGGTCTTTAGTTGTTCTATGGGACTTTTTACATAGACAGAGGAAGATCCTAGAGGGAGGATCATCCTAGCGCCGCAATATTTTCCATATTCAGGTTGTACTTGTCCCTATCTCTAGGATCTTCCTAGCTAGAGGTAAAAAATCCTAGTACTAGTAATAAATCAGCATCACGTAAACTATACTACTTTCACTAGGAAGATCCTATAGATCTATGGAGTACTAGAGAAAATCCAGACAAAAAAATGGCGGCGTGTCGTGAGTGGGTAATCAAAACGCCCAAAGAAAATTTCTGCACCTAAACCCAACGATTAGACAGAGGATCTTTCTCACTGGTACTAGGATCTTTATTCCTCCCGCCATGTAAAAGTTCCTAATTGTGCCTCAGTTAATTTGCATTAAAACTAACCTTCGCGTTTAATATATTTTCAAAGGAAAGAGCTCACGATGCTCCCTATTAACAGCCAATTACACTGTGTTTGTTACTCATAGTGTGATCGGGACCATACCTTTCCGTTTCTTTACTCGATTTTTCAACTATCTTGTATCACCTTTTTAACATCATTTCTAACCTAGAGCATTAAGAATACATTAGCATGTATTTCTGGAAATAACTCATTCTCCTGTAACATGGAGTTCTCGTGTCACTAAAAACAGTCGAGAACACAACCTTATCGTGCCATTCCTACATTGACTGCATGCCCGCAGTTTTTGAATGGTTATTCAGAATATCCTTATCAGGCTTCGAATTGCTTTCGGGTTGGCCAGTTTTGACAGTTGCAATTCAGTTTTGGATAAGGGGTGAACTGTTTTAGTGGCGATAATCTGCGAGCATCTCGTTGCATTTTCTTGTGTAAACAAAATTGTTAGTCAACAGTCTCATTCGCATTTGCTTCTTTTAAAGATCCAGTGAAAACAAAGCGTACCCACTGCTTATGGCGAATGAGGTTATTGACGTTTACTGTCACATGACCATGGCCACGAGTTCAAATGGACAATGCAGTGATGGTGGATGGACGCTGGTCATGAAGATTGACGGCAATCAGGTAAAGCTGAAGATGAATGAATGAATGAATGGATTAATTGATGATGAAAGGATAATACACACTAAATATTACATTCCCCAGTTTACTCTCGTATCAGTTAGTAGTTATTTTACAAATTTACCTCTCCTCCCTCAAATGGGAACGGGGAAAATTGGCGAAAGCCTGTCGAGGGTGACCAAATAGCCACTAAGTTAATTTTTAAGGAACAGACGGTAGCAGAAAGTCCCTCGAAGATCTTTTGATATTTCCCAAAAACCATTTTCCTTGTCAGTGCAGTTGACTCTCGATAACTCGAACCCTCGCTAACTCGAACCTCGCGCTAACTCGATAGAACCAAAGTCGATTTCCCCTGCTACATAAATGTGCTGTATTTTTGCCCCCGACAACTCGAACCTCCCGGCTCGCTAACTCGAAGTAATTTTTGTTTTCCTACAGATCTTTTCTATTTATATAATCTTACCCTCGATAACTCGAACCAAAGTTAAGCCTGTGACAAGTCAGAATAAAACAAAAAACAGCGTGCTGAAGTCCGAAACACTCAATTTATTTATGTATGTTTATAATCTTAATCCGGCTCGCTTCCCTTGAAGTAAGATGTGCCTGATTCCAGCTTTGTATTCCCTCCTCATCTGTTTGCTAGTTTCCTTATTTTCTGCTCGAACTCCCGATAACTCGAACTTTTTTTAGATACCCCAGAAGGTTCGAGTTATACATCGGGAGTCGACTGTAGCAAAAGTAATTTTTTTCCGAATTTAAACAGGGGAAGAGATTGGCCACTGCCACTGGTAAACTTGCAGCCACTAAGCTAATTTTAAATGGATAGTAGCAGCAGTAGGCTCGATTTCCGCCGTCTGCCGGGTCCGGTCTTTAAGTGTGGGCTCATTTTGCCGAACAGCGGCTGGTAATCGAGCCTATAGCAGCAGTAGCAGCTGGGGGAAGCAAAAGGAGAAATTCCCTCGAGGGCCTTTTAATATTTTCCCGCTTGTACACTTTTTGCCTTTGTTGTGAATAATTTTAGATTGTCAGGCGAGGTATGATAACAATGAATCTTCGACCGCCTCAGTCTGAGAGATACGGTAAAGACAGATATTGAAGGAAAGATATTAATTCAGGACAATGAATAACTGTATACAAGGACTGTCAGGCGGTTAAGGTTTGACCCGCAGAATGAGTATCAGAATCCTATCGTCCTTTTGAGCTTCTGTTTATGAAATAAAATTTTCCTGAATGCATAAAAGAATAAAGAGATTACCTTGCTTTAATTTGTAACTATCTTCCCAAAGCAAACGTTCCACTACACCTCTGCATACTGGCAAGATAAAAACACTTTTAATGTTGATGGAGGCAAGACTGGATTTGACTCACTGGAGACCAAACTTCCCTCCTACTGGAACACATCCTTCTCCAAGATCTGCCTCGGTATGAAGATCAACAACCAGATCAATTTTATTGAAATCACTAAGAGCGCCAGTTCCCTGTATTCACTGATCGCTGATGGGCAATACCGCAGCACCTCACTGGGTCGTGACAAGTGGAAGTCCGTAGTTGGTCCTAATGCCTCCTTGCAGCTCACCTGTAACAAGGAAGGGTTCAATGCAGAGTGTACCATGACTACACGCTCCAAAGCAAGAATCGGTATCCTTGCCAACGAGGACGGAGATTGCAACTCTTGTAATTCCAGGATCGGGTTTGGCACTGGAGGCAACCATGATGACTCTAACACATGTGGAAACATCGCTAAATTTGATGCGGATAATGGTGATCAACTCATTAAAGCTTTGGGGTACATTTTGGTACTGTGAGAGACATCCAGCCAAGAATTACTTGATCATACGCTATATCTTACGTCAGATTTGAGCTCTGTTAGTCCATTACTATACTGAGCTGACACTATATGTGAAAACATGGTTCCATATTGCAGCCTGATTGAAAAAAAAAAAAAATAGGCCTCTTGCGTGTCAAACAGACTTTTTTGGCCAAAAATATCTCTAAAGAAGCCAATATAAAATAAGCAATGTAATCTTTGCTTTTTTTCTCTTCTTTTCCTTTCTTTCCCTTCGCTCTCTCTTTTTCCTATTTCCTTTTCCTTCGTTTGTGAGATTTTTTAGCTCATCGGGCGCAAAAACCTGTTTAGTGGCCCTTTTTTACTTAAATGGCTGCAAATTTCGTTCGATTTGTTTTCTAAAAATCGGCTTGATTTACTCGCGTGAAGTCTTCCAAGAGATGCGCAGAAATGATTAGCACTACACCCCATCTACAAGTAACAGTGGACGAAAGATAGCATCATCAGATACTTCTTGATTCTTAAAACAATGCTTGTTCATTTTCCATTCCACTTCGTCCGCTGCGCAAGGCCTGTAGGTTAAACTGAGCTTAATTCTGTCAACTAAAAAAGATATAGACTGCTTGATACCAGCTAACATGTATACCGTAAAATTTCGAAAATAAGCCCCTCTGTGTATAAGTCCCTCCAAATATAAGCCCCCCAAACCAGTAACACAAAACACTCTCCGTTAAATCGCCGCTCCAAATATAAGCTCCCCGGGGGCTTGTACTTGGAAAATTTCCCTCAAATACAAAGTAAAACAAAGCAAAAACGGTAAATTTACTTCCAACTATAAGGCTAGCCCAATCGATTTTGAAACGCAAGTTTCCCTCTGTTGATAAGCCCCTCCAAAAATAAGCCCCTCAAAAGGTGCCTTTGAAAAAAATAAGCCCCGGGGCTTATTTTCGGAATTTTACGGTACCCCCCCCCCCACCCATGGGGAATAATGTCTTTATTTTTTAACGCAAAAATACAACAGTCACATTTGTATAATATAAACACCCAGTGTTACATTAGGCAAATATCAATATTGCAACCTGCTGACACGCAGATACTTTCACATTCATATATGGGGGCATCATTACTCATTCTGTCATCATTAGTAAACTGCACCTTAAGCAGTCTGGCAAAGTCCCCCAACCAGTGTTGTAAATTATCCATGAAAAGCCTGTGGGGAGTGGATTATAATAAGATATTTATTTGAGATTTAGGTGGTTTATAGTAAGAGTCTTGAGAGACAAATTGCATGAAAAATAAACTTTCAGTGTCTAGTATAACACGCCTTGAAAATAGTCATGCCTCAACACTCTTCCGTTGTAGTAAGTGGTTCGAGAAGTAAAACTTGACACTATTTTGTAGGCCACTTTTTTTGCAAGAGAAATGTTTCGAGATAAGTCGCAAGAAAGTTTACCAGTGTAACAGAGCATTTAATGTTACCACATACTAACTTCAGGGTTGTCAGAAAGTCTACCTCCTCCTCCTCCTCTTCCTCTTTTTCCCTCCAACTCCACTACGACCCTATCGACCCTACCGGCCCCACATCAACCACACATCGACAATACATCGAACAGTCTTTTATTGTTGGTGTACTTGGAAACCCCAAGTACATTTTAAGATGGTCAGGAGTAGTTCAGACGATTAGGGGAATATAGGTGGTGGATTGCTTAGGTACGGTGAAAAATCTTTAATGAGGGAATAATGAAATCAACAACAATAGGAAATCAATAGAAATGCAGTAGTGGTGGTGGTGGTGGTGGTGAAGAAAAAAAAAATTATAGAAATATGGTGGAGGTGGTAGAGAAAAAACAACAGAAATGTTGTGGTAGTAATATAGTGGTGCTGAGAAACAATGGAAATGTGATGGTGGTGGTGGAGGAGGAAAACAATAGAAATGCGGTGGTAGTGGTGGTGGAAAACTATGGAATGTGGTGCGTGGTGGTGTTGGTTGAGAAAAAAAAATAAAAACGTGGTGGAGGTGGTAGAGAAAATAATAGCAATGTGGCGGTGGGAAACAATAGAAATGTGATGGTGGTGGTGGAGAAGGAAAACAATAGGAATGTGGTGGTGGAAAAAACAGAAATGTGTTGTTGGTGGTGGTGATAGTGGAGAAATAACTGCAATAGAAATGTGGGGGTGGTAGTACGTGGCGGTGGAAAACAATAGAAACGCTGTGGTGGTAATGGTGGAAGAGAAAAACAATACTGGAAACATGTCGGTGGTGGTGGTGGGGGTAGAGAAAACAGTAAAAATGTGGCGGTGGTGGTGGCGGAAAACAATAGAGGTCGTTACAAATGAAATGTGTTAAAAGAAAGATCGATGCAGGGTCGATGTGGGTTCAATGTGTAGTCGATGTAGGGTCGATTAGGGTCGTAGTGGGGTTGGAGGAAAAAATATAAAAAAAATGAGGAGGAGGAGGAAGGAGGGGTAAGTGTAAAACATAGCTAGTTTGATTCTTTTTTTTTTTTAGGCTTGTTAATAGACTCCTCTTTCTTCTTGCAATTCTCTTCTCTTTTTGCAATTATTGTGTCTTAAGAAACCTGTCTGGTTTCATTGCGAGATTAATTTATAAGTCGCGTGTTTCTAGCTATTGATAGTCCTTAAGTTGTTTTATTGTTTTGTGTTTTTATAATAATAAGTAAAGGCTCTCCTTTGGGTCCCTTGACTTAAACGGAGCTCTCGAAACAAGACAAATAGCTCACCAAACGCTGAGATCATTGAGGGACCGAACGGAGAAAACGGTATTGTAATACCGAGTCAACATTGAAATAAAGAGTTTTTAGCTCGACTTTTTGTGCGCGTCTTATTGCCGATTTTTAGCGCTAAATAGAAGACATAAACTTTTTCTCGCGTTACTAGGTGACCGCTCCTTCTTCTTTTTTTCATAGACGTTCAAACCAGTTAACGTTACTTACCTGGGCCCGGTTGCATAAAACGCCCGTAACAACTACGGGAAAACGTACGTGCACTCGTAACTTAAGTGAGTTGCATTAAATCACTTAAGTGGTCCACTTAGGGGTTTCACTTAAGTGGTTGCACTTACGATTTTCGTAAGTGTTCACTTAAGTGTCGTTTATGCAACAGAAATTGCGGGTGTTGCATAAAGCGTTTTTTACGGGAAAAATAGCACGTAAATTTACGGGACCTATGTAGGTCCCACATCGTTACTGTTTTTACTAAATTTAACGAGATCTTTTACTGAGAAGTGAAAAAAAGTATTTTTCTTCACGTAATTCGTTCTAATGCGCTTTGTTAACCTCTGATGTACACTTTTGTGAAAAAAGAAGAAGAACTATCATTTTCAGTAGATATTGAAGATAAATAACGTTTGCATGCAAATTTCATTTTTTGAGAGGCTTAAAAGTGTTCGAAATGACTTTTAACTTTCTTTACACTCACCGGTGGTTAGCTTAAAAAAAAAAGAGAGTGAATCATTAATAAAGTACTATATCAAGGTTACGTGTGCCCTTAAGTGAGCCCGTAAGTTACCACGTAAAACAGAAACTTGCGAGAGTGCTAAGTGTGTTCCATGCAACACCCGTAAGTGTACCCATAACGGATTCGTAAGTGACCTACTTAAGTGAGCACTTAAGTGCGGGTTTTATGCAACCGGGCCCCCTGGCCACCCTAGGCAAAGGTTTTGTTTCCATTGAAAAGCACAGTTATTGTTATTATCTTTTAAACCAAAAAAAAAACGGCTATCAACTTATTACAGAAGCATAACTATGCTAAGGCACATAAACAGTATCCAGGAAGGCCAACGGAAGGCACTCCTCGGTATTTATTCAATTAAGCACATAAGCGCCAGCACTACAGGCAGGAATATTTGACATAATCACCCAACTGGAATAAGCGCCCATTCCCCTACCACCCCCTACCCAAAAAAATGACGTCACTGACAACGAGATCGAAATGGACTAACTTCTACTAAGAGATTCCGTGAAGACTTTTGTTCTCTTAAAAAAAAAACAAATTAAATGAACAGTTGAAATTCTACTTTAAAACAACTGGAACATCTTCACGTTTTGTTCAGCTGAATGAAAAGCTTATAATTGTGAAAATTTATTAACGCCCAGCTTCGATTAAGCGCCAACCTCGAATAAGTGCCCACTCTCAATTTCCCAAAACTTTAATAAGCCCATTAGTATGACAGGACGGAAATCGAATTAAATCTAGTTAAATGCGGATTCTGACAAGTAAAGACAGCTGTTATCGTACGCCTCAGAGCATCGATCCCAGTATTTTTGTTTGTTCCAGCACCTAAGAATTGCCCGTTAGCTTTGTGTATATTGAAGGGTTCAGTATTACTTTGGATGTGTGGTGGCGTCAGAAATACTGTGCTTATGATCTCTTTCAGGCCCGTAGTATTTCCTTATTCGTCCTTTTGAATAATGCAGTTTATAGTTTTGTGGATTTTGTTGGAGCTGCTTCCGTGGATTCGAATTGATGGGCAAGAGCAAAATGAAGGTTGGTTTATTCCAAACTTTTTACATAAGAACGGTTAGTAACATGAACTTATAACCGCTGGCTGAATTTATCTGGTAACAATTTGTATCTGGAACGACAGTTATTATCTACGTACTAAAAGCATCAAATATTTTAATATGCCCTTATTTCTATGAAAAAAAAAACTGGTTTCCCCCAAACATTTTATCTTATTGTGCAAAAAAAAGTATGTGTTTGCATATGACAATAAATTGATAATCATCTTCCTAAAATAAGTTCGATGTAGGAAAATTTTCTACGCTAAGCTGCGGCCATCAATGACATCACTGAAAACAAGCATACTGAGAACTTGCAAAGCTGTAGAAATTTTATCCTTGGTTTATTTTGAATACATCCCGAGAACGCTGACCTGTTGCCGGCCAGTTCAGTTTGTGTAGAACTTTTCATCGGCGTAAAAGGAAAATCGAACAGTCCAGATTCAAGTTGATTTTTTCGAGGGAATTTTAATGGCAAAAGACTGCTGAGGAAGAGAGAAACACTCAGGAAATTAACGCCGACTCGTGGCGGTTAGTAAAAGTTTTGGAAGTTAACGTGAGATTACTTCCCGGCTATAGGAAATTAAGGTGAACGAGAGAGTAGGATTTAAAGCAAAGGAAATTAAGGATGAGATTATTAAAAAAAGTAACACCTTGTGGAGACATTGTGGAAAAATTATTTTAACGCCAATCCGAAAAAACTATAATCATAATGCATTAAGCCGTGACGTAAAACGCATAGTTATAATTGAGGGCACGTTTAAGACCAAAATACCGCATTTTCTTTCGCATCTGACGATTAAATTTTATTAGACGCAAGGATCAAACAGCAGAATCTCTCCGCTGAGTCAAGCATATTTCACACTGGTCTACGATAGTGGGCGTTTAATAATTAAGTTAACAATTATTGAATGGGGCTGAGCGGCAGGATATGAAGAATTATGCAGATCTGGGAGGTTCCGTCGCTGTGGAGAACTGAGCGTGAACGGAGACTGATGCAGAAGCAAGACGAATTCTTGATATTCAACCTACTTAGTAAAGAATATGCTTGTGTGAATAAAGAAATCTCAAAAGAAATGCTGGTTTAAACAACGCAGGAACTTAAGACAAAAAATCAAATATCAAACTTCCTGCTGTTATCAGAGGCCTCTTTCCGCTCCCGCCCAATATACCAGGGAAAACAGTGACTCTGCTGGCAGGAAGAAATATCAATGAAAGAACTGTAACTGCAATAGAAGGAAATCTCCGTTGCGAGTGAAGCAGACGAGAAACAAAGCGGAGCAAAACGGACCAATCATAGAAAAACGCGTCGTCAGTTCCTGTGTTGTGATTGGCTTGCTACACTCCAGTACGAAAATTATCTATACGTACCAAAACGGGCTAATAGGTAGCCGGTTTTGAACGGCGCTGGTCAACTGCGCTGCTTCGCGATTTGGTATACTGAATATCTGAAACTATTCACCTCAGTCCGTCTTCACTGCAAGTAGAGCACTGTCTTGGCTTCGCCGGTGAACATCTAACTGAATAATACATATTCACATATTTATTTGCCGGCTGGGAGGCCCGGTCAGGGAAAAACAGCTGTGCCTGCCGAGGTCTTGGCTGAGTGCCGTACTGTGGACGGAGGACACGGTTTTTTTCCTAAATGGACCGACCTAGGCTGGTACTAAAATATACGTATTTATTTTTTCCTTATCATAACAGACAGCTTTAATAGGAAGATTTCAATTCAGCCTTCAACTTATGTGTGTTGATGCGTAGAGCTTTGACTTTGTTGTATGTGTAGATCGTTCTCACTCACGTGATCAGTAGAGACCTTTAGACTCCAGGATTAGAACAACTACGAGTAAGAGATTTGTGTATTCTCAAATAATACAAACCTGGACAGCTTCATTGTACATCTCCTTCACTAAAAAAATTAGCACTGTTATCTCCCAGTTGCAAAATTATAAAACCTATAATAACACTTTATAACTTGTGTCCGCTAACACGACATTCTTGCAAAAAACTCGTAGTAGAATGACGACAACTATCACGTTTTCCCGCCAAAATGACGCTGGTTCATGGACGAGTACTGTTTAGTATTGAGAAAATCTCTTACTCGTACTCGTACTCGTACGTTACTCGTCTTACAACTAGAATCTAAATCTAAAGTTTTACTCTCTTCTTTACCTGTATTGTGCATGTAACAAGTAACATAATGTGGTAAGTTGAAAGCAAAGTTTACAGGAATATTAAAAAATGCGGTATGTATCTTAGCGTATCTACCGGTATTTTTAGTAACATGCACTGGACACTGTTATCATTACCCAGCTCAATCGTCGATTTTCACATGTGCCTAATTTAATTCGAGAGGTAACTGCTTTGAGATGGGACGTCTGAATCAACTAAATTCGACAGTTTCACTAGTCGAATACGACTTTGTCGAATCTGCGACTGAAATAGTCGAAACTTCGACTTGGATGGGTTCAACATTTGATTTAGAGGTCGCATTCGACATGTGTCGAATATAATGCATTAATTATAGAAACCCTTATCTATGCTGGATAAAAAAATTTTCCAGAGACTGGGAATATTTGCAACAAACGGAGTTAAATTCGGCACCACCACATCCCACGTCTGAATCAACTGCCCTATTTAATTACTTTAATCGACTAAAATAGGTGTTTGGTACTCGTAAGAAATTCCATGTTCGAAAGTGGCCTAACATGACATACCTTTCAGCTAAGTGGTTTGCAGACTGTTATAAAGTTGTTATTTTCTTTTCAGTAAGAGCAATTCGTATCTCCCTTTGTAAACCCATGTCGGCTTGTGCCGCTACTTAAGAATCAGCTGAAATAGTTGATTTTACTTTCTCTTTGACATGATTTGTATGTCACTGGACATGATTTGTATATCAAAACGAGCGATCAATCTTCATCCATCTATTTCAATAAAAGCAAATGACTTCGTGCGGCAGGGAAGAAAGACGAAAAAGCTAACCCTTTTAGATTAAATTATTTTAAGGTTTAAACTTGAAAACATGTCAGTCTTTCGCACTGATTGGTATTTTAATGGCCCTTGTTACTTGAAAAGTAAATTATCACCTCAGAAAGAAATTATTGAATACATGAGCTTCCATTTGATAGAATCGTCTGTCTTGAAGGTAACAAAAGTGAAGTTGTCCTCATTAATGTGGAAAATAAGGCATTTTAAGGGGCAATTTTTAGTGTCGGTGTCACCGAATGCAAAGGCATTTCCCCAGTTCACCCAATTTTTCATTGAAGCTGATCTCCCATTGCTTGCATGCAAACAGCACAAAGAAACTGCATAACAGTGCAAAAACGCATCAAACTTTACAACAACCCCACCCCCTGAAATTTAACTAGGCTACCCCAAATGCATACCAGATGATAGCCCTGTGTCTGTGCAACAACATGGCATCCAGCCAGACACAACCTTTCCCCCGCCCCTCCTCAATTTGAGGGAGACATTGAGCTTTGAAAGACAGGGGTAAGCCCCGGTACAAAAACTCAGCAAATCCGCACTCTAGCACAAAGTATAGTCTATAGAACAACCCCACTCCCCAGGAATTTAACCAGGCTACCCCAAATGCATACCAGATGATAGCCCTGTGTCTGTGCAACAACGGGACTTTTAGTTCAACGGAAGCCCCCCCTCAAAAAAAATTAGCTGGCCCAACGGGGGCTGTTGCCCCCCTCGTGCATATTTTCTTTATTTTCCACTGATTTCTGTCAATTCCAGGAAGTTATTTGGAGCCCATGGTTAAGAGCTGAGGGTGGTTAGTCCTGAAGAGGGAGATTGTTATTTTTACACTAAAAGTATGAGGGCTTTAAGCAAATTAAGTTTTGAAAGATTGCTTGCAATGTGCTGGACTTGACTTAAGATTTCAAGCAACCCGGTTTTCAAAACTCCGGGTAGAATTATAATTACTATTACGGGTATCACTTGTAATAATGATAATAATAATAATAATAATAATAATAATGATAATAATAATAATAAAACAGCCACGGACATAGATAAAAGAGTAAATATCTACCTAGTGAATAAATATGTACCAACAAATGCGTTAAAAATGTAACAGTTCAAAACAGTGCTAGAAGTATTGGTACTGTTTCAGCATTGTAGACTTATCAAAATGCAACGCACTCATCATCTTTAGGGAACGTTTCAGGCCGATATAAGACCAACATTTTCCGCTACGTCTCTTTTGGGCTCAAGTTATGCTGAGTGTTCTTAAAACCACTTTTTTAGTTGTTAACAGTAAAGGCTGATAAAGCAAAAAAATGTTACAAAAACTGTTCCCTGCAGCCTATAGAATTCTTAAGGTGGCAGTCTGGGTGTTTTGGGGGAAAAAATGTTGATTTAGGAAGGAAATGAATTAGGGTAGAAACGGTATACATGTAAACCAGGTAGTCCGCTAATAGGATTGGGGGCACCTTGTTGTTGTGGTCGGCATTCTGGTATTTGTGTAGTAGTTCAGGTCACTTCATAATTTAATTTTTAACAACCCCCAAAATCCAATATTTTCTAATTTTCCAGACTTTTTAATACCCCCTCTAATTTTTCTGCGTTAAAAACATTCAAAGAATCATCAAGAAAATTTCTAAAAATCATTGAAGCGAGGACTCCAACCTTATTGAGTCATTTTTTTGAATGAAATCTTGGTAGATATTTAAGAAAAAGGGTGGAAATAAACGAAAAACAATGACTCTCCCCTTAAGAATTTCCTGGATTATTTCCCCATACATGGAGACTAACGCTTTTATTTCCATTGCTAACGGAAACTCTCTTTCCAGACAAATGTCGTTGCCTGGAGTGGAGAGCCAACCACACCTTTGAAGGAAAACGTCTAAAGCATCACGTGATTCGCAGCGTTGACGCCCTTGACTTGACAATCTGTGAAATACTTTGCTATGGTGAACCCGACTGTGTTAGTTTCAACTTTAAGAAGTCTGTGAGTCAATGTGAGCTGAATAACTCCACTTTCGAAGAACAAAAAGATAAGCTGGAGACAAACTATGGCTACATTTATAGAGGAGGCGAGGTAAGTGAGGAACTTCAAATTTAACTTCAAATAACCTACTGCGTAATATTTGAGGCGAATTAAAAGACCAAAATATACACGATGGCCTTTGTGCCCGGCAACGAATGATGGCTACTTTTATTAGAACTAAGCAAACGGGAAAAGATTATTGAAAATAATAACAGAATTTACTAATTTCATATACATGAATTTGAACTGAGGGTTGAAGAAATAAATGTAAAGAAGATCATCGAAGACGACGTAACTTACAGTTGTATGCAATTTGTGATTCATGATTCTCTGTAAAACAGTTAGAAGTGAAGCAAGAGTTTCAGTTACCTATAAAGGAAAGCCGTGAATTTTTCTGTCCCAGAACAAATGCGTGAATAACCTTTGCGAGAACAACGCAACCTGTCAAACCGGTTTCACAGACAAAGGATACCGCTGTATGTGTACTACAGGATTTAAAGGAGAATACTGTGAAATCGGTGAGTTTTTGGAGGTTTAACGCCTTTAAATTTGTTGTGTTCAATAATAATAATAATAATAATAATAATAATAATAATATTTTTAATTTTTTAATAATAATAATAATAATAATTTTATTCAACTTTGAAAATATGTACATAATTTACATATTTGAAGTAAGAATTATTAAGCACTTTACAACATTAAGAATTATATAAATCATAACAAAACAATCACTTTGCCATTCCAGTATTTCAAATTAAGTCATGACAAAAGAAAACTATCCGTCTCTGATATGAAATAGAAACAAGCTAAAAAGAATAAAAACTCGTATCCCTAAACAGCGCTTTTTTCCGTCTAAAATTAAAAGGAGTAAATTAAAAACAGTATAAGAAGAGCCGCACACGACAATGTCGACGCCAGAATCATTCATTCCCGATCGGGAATTGTGTGGTTTTGGAGACGTATAAGATCAGAGTGGACATTTTTACCCAGGTTTAATTTTTTATTGATTTTATTTTTTTGCGCAAATTAGTGTGTAATTGTTACCATAAATTTTAGTCGATGCTGCGGCTGGTTACGGTTTGCCGCCCAGCCAAAGCTTTTATGTTTTACTCTGGGCATCCAGACGTTTGTACTGCCATAATAATAATAATAATAATAATAATAATAATAATAATAAAAACAAAACTTTATTCATAGATTTAAAAAAAAATAGACTATTTACAGATTCAAGAATATGAAATATTAAAATATATACCCTATGTACATTTTTCTTGTCTACGAAAGAGAATTGTTGTAAAATGACTATCTAAAGACTACTAATAACAATTATAAAAAGGATCAAAAAGTTGATAAAAAAATAAAAACTATTTAAAAATAATAATTCAAACTGATAAAAAGTTACTACTTAAATTTCACTTTCCGATGTAATGTCATTTCCTGGTTCCTCTGAGACACAGCAAGGCTGATCGTAAGAAAAAAACTTTCGCCCTTATCCAAGATATGGTTGTAGCGTAGTCATTAAAAAAGCTTCTATGGAATCTTTCATTCATCGGCCATTCCAAAAACTAATGGTTGAATGTCGAATACTAATCCAAAACCCGCCTGCTGTAATTCTATTTTCAAGTTGGAATATCTGTTTCGGAGATAGTTACGAATCTGCGTTTGGAAAAGAACATCGAAGAAAATTGCTGTTTGTCCCAAAACCCGCGAGCGTGAACATCTAGTCGGGCATCAGGCGCTTTGTTTGCGCCTCTATTATAATAATAATAATAATAATAATAATAATAATAATAATAATAATAATAATAATAATAATAGCTGTTCCAGGAGATAGTAATAATCTGCAGAAAGAAACTGAAAAGTGTGAAAAGTACCAAGACCTGTCAAGAGAGATTCAAAGGATCTGGAAATCAAGGACAAAAGTGGTGCCAGTGGTTGTAGGTGCATTGGGTTCAGTGTCAAAGAAACAGGCAGGCCATGCCCCTTGGAGCAACTAGGAATTAAAAACCGAACAAGAACGATGCAAAAGTCGGCACTCCTCGGATCGGCACATATCCTCAGAAAGGTGCTGGAAGTCTGAGGTCTCGGAATGAGACTTGACTGGATATTTCTCCCCAGGGAAAATCCCTGTGCTAAATTTTACATCATAATAATAATAATAATAATAATAATAATAATAATAGTAAAAGTGAGATCGATCTGCAAACTAGTAAATGGCACATTTTGCTATAATTCTAATTTATGTTACGGTTCCACAGTTTTTTTTTGTTTAACACCTTTTTATCCCGTTCTCTTCTGAAAATATATCTTGAGTAGCTTATGGAGCGTGTAGAAGGGAGGTTTTCGGAGAAAGCTCCAGATGAGACGTAACCAGGCCAGGATTCTAATGCAGGACTTTGTCCACTAGCTATGTACAGCTGTATGTAAAGACTATGTAGGAAGGAGGTTTTCGCGGAAAAGCTCAAGTGAGCGGAAACCAGCTGGATTCTAGTGCAGGACTCTCCCTTGACTTTCGAGGGGTATAAGAGTCGTTACCTGGGTTCTCCACCAAGAAGTATTTAGGAAGGAGGTTTTCGGGGAAACGTTTATAGGTGAGAGAAAACCAGGACTCTTAAAATGTTGCGTCTGTCTCCAATTCTCGTCAGTTAACACGGGTTCTTCTTTAGCGCCTGCGAGTTAATTAATAACTCAAACAACACTAAATATTGGCGGCAAGTTTTAAAATAACTTAGATGTGGGTACGTCGAACTTGGTGACCATGAAAAGTACGAAGGCACTTTATAGTGACTTTAATGTCTACTATCTGTTGCCCACCAAAGTGGTTAAAGCAAGCCTATCAAGTTAATTAGGCCAAGATGTCCAAGAAAGCAAATGGAAGCTAAACGCCAACCAAACCTTCCATGCACTAGCTACCTAATAAGCCAAGAGGGAAACTCCGATGTAGAAAAATATCCAAGGTCAGATGTGAGATGTGACCCCAAACGTGCCTATTTCAAAGGTCGACCCTCTAATTTAATTAAACCTTAAGATAAACGATACTTTCGTTGACAAACTCACATTTATAAAGCTGTCGACACAAATTAACGGATTAACCTTGATCTGCAAACCCCAATCATAACGAGATCAGCTCAGGCGTAAACAAACTATCAGCGAAAATCCTCACAATAATAACTTTCAAAACAACCAACAAATTACCTCAGAACCAAAGAAAGTTATGGTAAAATGCATCTTTTGCTAGCAATCTTTCAGTGCTCTTTGCATTCTATTTTAATATTTATTTAGTATTTTTCTTGTTGCGATTTAATGGATTGTTTAACCTAACATAATCCTACCAGCTGTAGACGAGTGCGCCTCTGGAACACACAACTGCAGCGCCAATACGTTCTGCACCAATAATTTGGGATCTTACACCTGCACCTGTAATCTGGGATACTATGGTGATGTAGAGAACTGTGAACCAAGTGAGTCTTAGGCATTTTTATAGGAGAAATTAAACCATTCTCAGCTTTAAATAAACCATAATACTTTATCTTCTTCGATTCAGGCCTATTTTGAGGTCTATTAAGGGGACAGAAGACTACAAACAATGTTGTTGCTCTTGCAAATATTAACGGAGTAACCGTTCATCGATCTGTAGTAATTTTTCCAAATAGTTCACGGCAAGTATTTTTAAGTCTGACTTGTAAACAATAATGATTCTTTCAATTAAGACATAAATAGTTCCTTTCGAAAAATGGGTAATAAAATAAGAAAATAAAAACATCTGAAGTTACTTCCGTTAATGGCTCTTACTAGTAATCAGTATTGCAGTAATTTAAATCACTGAAAATAAATTATGTTTAGTAGTTATTATTTCCTTTATTTTCACACAGTTTCGACGTGTAAGGACATTTTTGACAAGAACATGTGAGTAGCAAGACATTATTCGTTGTGTTTCTATTTAAATGATACAGCTTTCAGCATGACTGTGATGCGTGCATTTCATGTATATAGCAATACACCGAGATGTACGACACAACCAATACAGAACATATTTCCTCTGGGCGATGGCATTTTAACGAGATTCAGAATGGGTCCTTATTGCACCTGGTTAGTCACATGGTCCTGAACCTTCCTTGAGAGTAGCCCCAGTAAAGGGCAAAGAAATATAATTGCCATTCTAAAGACGTTATTATGCGTTATTATACGTTGTACCTGCCTTTTCATTATAAGAGTTCACAATTACTTTTGGCAATAAACGCATCTTACAGATTATATTAATTAGCTGGTTATCTGCTAGCAGTTAACTAACTAATCTGTCGGTTGCAAGGCAGCGCAATTCAGGATTTTCAAGAGTAATGTAAACTGTGTTCAGTGCGACAGTGTGTTTTTCGTTATTATAAAACAATTAATAAATTTAGTTTTTGTGATACCCTCAATAATCAATCTAGATCTGATGTCTCGTAATTTCTACTTTTAAGATCCAGAGAAGACAAAGCATACCCTCTAGTTTTGGAGGATGAGGTTGTTGACGTTTACTGTCATATGGCTATGGCTACGACTGGAAATGGCGCATGCGGTAATGGTGGATGGACGCTGGTTATAAAAATGGATGGCAACCAGGTAACCTTACATTTAATCTCTGAACGATATGACTAACCCTCGCTAAATTAAATGGTAGTATATTTACATTTTAGTTCTGGAACATTACGCAAGTAAATATATCATTCTTTGATAATTTAAGGGTCCTTCGTAGAGACAATAAGCAGTGGCGGATTCAAAAAATTCAGAAAGGGGTGACCGGGACACTTGCCAGCTATATAAATACTATTATTATTCATGCAAATATTTCCCCAATTCTGATTGGCTAAAAGCACACGCATAATTCACCAAAACCAGTTACTGATGACCAAATGTGGAAGAATTTTGTGTTTAACGAGGAAATGACGTCAAAAATGCAGCCCGCTACAGGTTAAGACACCGTTACCGAGAAATCCTGGGGACGAGGTCGAGTTGTTTTGGTTGTGAAAAAAAAAGATGGCGAACATTTCACTCGTTTCAAGAGTAAGAACTACAGCTGGAGCTAGGCGAAATAATAGCTAAAAACATGGCAAAAACAGCAAGAAGACAACTCGGAGCGCGACATCTGCTATTTGGAGAAAATTTGCGGAACTGGACAAACCTAAACGTACACTATCGAAGATGAACGTAACATCGATGTAGGTAAGTATGTTTTAGCCATGTTTCTAAACTAGGAATTATTTTGAATGAGTAATAAAACAATTAATGAATTCGGCTTTCCTAGGATATGAAGAATTAAGCAGATCTCGGAGGGCGTTATCCACCTCGGCCTTCGGCGTCGGTGGATAACACCCTTTTCGATCTGCCTAATTCTTCATATCCTACTCAGCCTCATGCAGTTATTAATTGCTAATTAATCTTAATGAGAATTCTTTAGAAATAATACAAAATTTCACCATAAAGGGGGAGGGGAGGGGCACCCCATCGGCCAACCCCTACTCCGCCCATTTTATTGTCATGAAGATTGTTTTTTTTTTTGTCATGAAGACTCAAATAATGACGATGACATAACTCTCAATAGTCTGTTTGTTTTAACCCTCAATTCAGTCGGCGTTTTTTAATTTCCCAGGTGTTATTTAATATCATTCAAGAATTACGGCATTATCCGCGTGGGACTAGCTTCTGGTACTTCAGCTATAAATCATGCACGTTTTTTGCCATTAATTTAATGAATGACATCAGATCAGATTGCACGCAGGTCTGAATTAAGACGTATACTCCTACAAAATTCTACTATGATTGGAGCTATGCACATCCCAGGACCATTCCGAGAGACACTCAGCAAAGAGCTAGTTCATGTGCACAGAATGACTACTTTAAGATTAGGGCGCGGTTCCTGAAAGGCCGATTAGCGCTAATCCAGGGTTAAAACTTTATTGCACTTTTTGTATTTACCCTTCTAAGCGCTGCTTAGAGTAACAATTTGTGATATCATTACTGTATCTTCAGAGTAAAGGCACCACAGTATTTTGAAAGTTTGAGTTACATGTTTAGACAAGAAAACCTTGCTTTAAATTGGGCTTAATCCTGGGATAAACTTAATCATCTTTCGAGCCGGGCCCAGGGCACTTTTTAATAGATCTCATTCATCTTCGCCATCTTTGCACGCTCTTTAGGATTCATGGGTTAAATACAATGTCATAATAAAATTTACCGATACAAGTAATCGACAACGAGTTTGTTTATTCTCTCAAAACGAGGCGACGATTTACTAGTCATGCCAAATGTACCGTTTGACTTTCCACAAGATTTGCGTCATTATTGCTTCTTGCTGTGAGGACATCTACGGTCACTCATGCATCTAACAAAGTGACAATGATAACTTTCAGCCATAATTTTAAGATGACAAGTCATTCGTTTCTAGTCAAGAATAAACAAACTCGACGACGATTTCTTGCATTGGATAATTTTATAAGTCGTTTGCTCCCTGAGAAATTACGCAACATCGCTTTTATCCCATCAGTCCTTAAGCGGGTGCAAACATAACGGATATCGTGAATAAGGTCTATTATTATTTACAAAAATTATATTTCAATGCTCTAATCACAAAATAAGAACGCTGATTTACTTTACTAAAGATTGTTACCAATATTCCTCCAACAGCAAACTTTTCACTACAATTCTACACTTTGGGAGAACAAAGACACCTTTGACGTTGACGGCGGAAAGACTGGCTTTGACACGCGGGAGACAAAACTTTCCTCCTACTGGAACACGTCCTTTTCTAAGATTTGCCTCGGTATGAAGATTAACAACCAGATCAATTTTATTGAATTCAACGAGAGCGCCAGTTCCTTGCATTCACTGATCGCTGACGGACGATACCGTTCTATCTCACTGGGTCGTGACACGTGGTTTTCACTGATTGTCTCTGGCTCCTCCTTCGATGACCACTGTAACAGAGAAGGGTTCAACGCCGAGTGCACCTGGGCAAACCGCTCCAAAGCAAGAATCGGTATTCTTGGTAACAATGAAGACGACTGCACCTCATGTAACTCTAGGGTCGGGTTTGGTACTGGCGGAGAAAACGACGACTCCAACACCTGTGGAAACCACGCTTCCAGCACAAACATAAAGGCCTTTGGGTATATATTTGTGCAGTAAAAGAAACCGAAAATTAAGCTTATCTTGTGCAAACGCTATATTTTGCCTAAGCAAGAAATTAACCTTGTAAATGTTTTAAAAATGTTGTCACGAGAGATCTATTAAAGAAATTTGAAGTTGGATAATTATGCTTCATGTTTTGTATGATTCAAGCGTGCGGAATAAATGGAGATTGATGGCCATTTTGTGTTCCAGATATCGATGCTGCGTCATTTACCTACGCGTTACAAACGTCAATCACGACACCTGGAAAGTTGAACAGGCCACTTTTCGCTAACTTCTGATTTCTTTAAGGGTAAAGTTTCCTCGTTTGTCGTTTGTTTGAATAAAGTAGATTAACAGATAGAAGAGAATAGAATAAACTATAATGAAGTATAAAGAAATGGCTTATCGTTTGTCTCGGGATAGATAGTCACAGATGACTTTGTTATTGATCGCGATGACTCGATCGCATACTGTAGGTCTAAATCAGGCGATATTGCCGATTTACTGAGTGGGACTATTAGTACCACTGTGGTTGCTAATGACTGGTGTATTACGAACCTCACTCTCACGGCTTATAGTGGGTTTCGATCTGAAGCACTTGTTTGCATTGTTAAAAGGACTTTAAGAGAGGTTGTCAGTGAAAACCGGGCAAAATATTAAACTGAAGGGGGTCAACGGAATTAGTTCGTATACTTATATCATAGATAGGTTAGGTGGAGTAATGGTTAAATACAATAAACATAGGTCCGTCACTGCTCTTGTATTAGAGATACAAGCATCACTTTATTTCACCCCTTTGTACGCCATTTTTTAAAGTACCGTATTTTGACCATCACTAAGTCCTCAAATTTAAACGAGCAAAGTTCATTTTTTGTATGCGATACAACGCAACACAGGGCTACTTTATAAAACCATAAACTTTGTTAAGTAGCTAAAGGCAACGCTTAAACTTTCTCATTTCACCTGGGCTAAACTCAGTGTCTTCGAAGTGTCTACAAAAGCGAGCCAAAAATCGGGTCGTTTTTGACTGAATTGATCTATAGCGCACAACTAAAAGGATGATAAAACTCTAACAGTCAAATTGCAGTCTACAATAATCCACGTTACCAAAACACTGATAATCATTTTGGCTCGTTGGAACAGGACTGAAGAAATTAGAAAACTCAAATTTGTCATTGTTGCCAAACTTTTTCTTGCAAATAGGCCACTGCTCTTCTTGTTTGTTCTAAGTCCGCTTCACGAATTTTCTTCGCCATTTCGCTGGCAAGAAGAGGTATCAAACAGCTCGAAAATTACAGTCAACTGTCACATTTTAAAATGGCAAAAAAGTGGTGAACCATAGGATACAACTAGAAACTAGGAAAGCGACGCCATCTTGAAATTTACTACTCAGGAGGGACTGACACTAGTAGTTTCTTTGTCTCCACATCGTTGTTCCATTTTGAAGGAATAAATGAACTCGACCGCGATTATTGCACTGGCAAATTTTATCATCTCTTTAATTGCCTACTGAGAAAAAAAGTGACGTGATATCGCTTATTCCCCCCTCAATCCTAGGGCGCGTGGAAATATGGCGAGTATCAAAACTGGACAACATTCTTCTTGACACAGTATTACTAAATTAAGCAATATTTTCCTTACCGCTGAGTTCAATTTCATATTAACTTCTAGAAGTTAAACACTGGATCAGAGTTTGCCAGCAGACAGTATGTAATAACATTGCATAATACTAGGACCAATCATTTAGTACGTCAGTGATGGTTACAGATTGTTCCCCTTATTTAGACTTCTCTGTTTACGATGTACAAAATGATCTATTAATCAAATAATAGTATGCAAGGATATCTAGTATTTAAACTAAGCTGGTTTTTCAAAGTCACCTCTCCGTTCTTTATAAATGGGTTGCATCAAACCTTTCTTTTTTCTTAATCTTAAATTCATTTTTCTTGTAAAGGACGGACATTATAGAGAAGTTAATTGGTGGGGGGAGGGGGGGATGGAGAATTTTCATGCCAAATGATTTTTTTTCATTAACATTCCTCTTGTATCAATTATTTTAAGCCAGTGCATAAATACTTTAAAGGTTATTTAGCTTGTATAAATATTGTTTTTTTTCTTGCGCAAGATGTTTTTTGGTACTTTCGCTAATGATCCGTCCCTGATACGAGCTAATATTGTATTGCCTTGTAGCTGTAAAATGTCAGTCTTCCATTTGTGAACAATGAAAGAGCTTGTAGGCCTTTTATGGCGTACGTGTTGCAGGCTGAAGGCAAGGGGAACGATGGATTGAAGCTGTAACCTATCAAAACGGCGTAGAGTCTTCGAGACTACCTTATTTATTTCATTAAGCGCATAAGCGCCAGCACTACAAGCAGGAATATTTAATAAGCACCCAACTCGGATAAGAGCCCATTCCCCTACCATCCCCTGCCCAAAAAAGACGTCACTGACAACGAGATTGAAATGGAATAAGTTCTACCAAGAGATTCCGTGGATACTTTTGTTTTCTTAATATTTCAAATAGACAAAATGCTACTTTGTTCAGCAAAATAAAAAGCTGAAAATTGTGAAAATTTATTAGCCCCCCCGCTTCGATTAAGCGCCCAACTCGAATAAGTGCCCACTCTCAATTTCCAAAACTTTAATAAGCGCATTAGTATCACAGGAGGAAAATTGAATTAAATCTAGTTAAATGCGGATTCTCATATTAATAAGTAAAGACAGCTGTTATCGTACGCCTCAGAGCGTCGATCCGAGTATTTTCGTTTTTTCCAGCACCTAAAGAGAATTTTGACGCCTACCAATATATCGGGAAAGCTTTACAAATGTTACTACTATGAGGTCCCATTGCAATTGAAACACTAATCGGCATTACCATTGCTAATTCTATAAAGAATTGTCCGTTAACTTATATTGAAGGGTTCAGCATTATTTTGGATGTGTGGTGGCGCCAAAAATACTGTGCTTATATGATCTTTTCCTGGCCCGTAGTATTTCCTTATTCGTCCTTTTGAATAATGCAGTTTATAGTTTTGTGGATTTTGTTGGAGCTACTTCCGTGGATTCGAATTCATGGGCAAGAGCAAAATGAAGGTTAGTTTATTCCAAACTTTTTACGTAAGAACGGTTAGTAACATGAACTTATAGCCACTGGCTCAATTTATCAGGTAACATTGATTTTGTATATGGAACGACTGTTATTATCTACGTACTAAAAGCACCAAATATTTTAATATGCTTTTATTTCGATGAAAAAAAAAATTGGTTTACTCCAAACATTTTATCTCATTGTGTAAAAAATAATGTGTTTGCATATGACAATAAATTGATAATCATCTTCCTAAAATAGGTTCGATGTGGGAAAATTTGGTGCTCAAATTGCTGCATTAAATGGCCATCAATGACATCACTGAAAACACGCACACAGAACTTGCAAAGCTGTAGAAATTTTATTTTTGGTTTGTTTTGCATGCATTCCGAGAATGCTGTCCTGTTGCCGGCCAGTTCAGTTTGTGTGGAACTTTTCATCGGCATAAAAGGAAAATCAAACATTCCAGCTACAAGTTGATTTTTTCGAGGGAATTGTATTGGAAAAAGATAGCTGAGGAAGAAAAAAACACTCGACAGGAAATTAACGCCGACTCGTGACGGTTAGTTAAAGTTTTGGAAGTTAACGTGAAATTACTTCCCGGCTATAGGAAATTGAGGTGAAAGAGAGAGTAGGATTTAAAGTAAAGGAAATTAAGGAGATCTGCAAAAAGTAGCACCTTATGGAGACATTGTTTTAACGCTAAACCGAAAAAATTATAAAGCATTAAGCCATGACGTAAAACGCATATGTATATTTTAGGGACATGTTTAAGACTAATATGTAGCACTTTCTTTCGCATCTGACGATTAAATTTTATTAGACGCAAGGATCAAACAGCAGAATCTCTCTGCTGAGTCAAGCATATTTCACACTGGTCTACGATAGTGGGCGTGCAATAATAAAGTTAACAATTATTGAATGCGGGCTAAGCGGTAGGATATGAGCAATTATGCAGATCTAGGAGGTTCGCTCGCTGTGGAGAACTGAGCGTGAACCGAGATTGATGCAGAACGAAGCCGAATTCTTGATATTCAACCTACTTAGTAAAGAATATGCTTTTTTTTTTTTTTTTTTTTTTTTAATTTTTATTTTCAATTGCAAGGTATACTTACTTACAATACTTACTTAGAAACAATGTATGATACTTACGCTACTAACAGAACTATACTCTACTTACAAAAAAAAAACTTATTTACAATGTGAGATACTTACGCTACTAACAATACTGTACTCTACTTACAATACAAAACTTGCAATACTTACTTACAATGAGATGCTTACACTACTAAAAGTGCTATACTCCACGCTTTACATATATAAAACAGCTACTTGCACTACTTACATTACGGATTACATACGCTACAAAAACAGAAAAAAAGAAAAGAGGGGGGGCGGGGAAGTATGGCAAATTTTAGTTAACTGTAGTTCTAACTCAAAGGAGAAAAAAGAGATTAAAGATATTTTCTCTGCTGATTCACGGAAATTAGCTTTATATACTTTGAAAGTTGAAGCGAGGAAAATAGGAAGGGAATGTCTATTAGGAAGGAAAGTGTAAAAAGAGCGAGAGACCCCAAACTGGTAAAAGGTTACTAAAGAGGGAAAGGTTCAATTTCTTTATTATATTGTTTTAAAAAAGGCTTAAAATTTTCAATAGTTGGAATATTTCCTTTACTTCTGCAAAGCCAAATGTAGAATCTCGCAAGTAACAGAACGAAGTTAATTGCGGCTTTGTTTTTGGAAGTATCAGGCATCAGACCCAAGACGACAAGACTGTTAAGGAGATAGTCGTTGGATAAAGTTTACGATCCTTTAGAAAAGCAATATGGTGTTTCCAGTAAAGTTCTATTTTGCTGCAGAACCAGAAAAGATGCGTGAAGTTTTCAGCTTCCTCATGGCAAAATGAACACCTAATGTCATCTTTCTA